ATCTGGCAGCTCGCCACGCTTGTGTAGACCTCTCTTGTAAACGATTTCCTTGTCAGTCGCGCGTATGTAGTGGCCCAGATCGGAATTGACGAGGCGAGTCTTCAGACCCAGAGCGTTGAAGGAGTCGACCTCTTCGGGTGGAATAGCGATGGACAGGGTGTCGCGAATGGGATGAGTGTGGTATCGGGAGAAGCGCTTTCCGAGATCACGAGCCTCGTCAGCAGAAGACGGGGTGACGGAATAGACGTGGTAGCCATCGTAGCTGGCTTTAGCAGTGCGCGTCACAGAGCTGTCGCGAGGCTGTAAGGGAGTCGCTGCAGCTAATTGAGCGGCGAGTAACACTTTCGTCCACTTCATGATGTACAAGAGTCGAGTTCAGTGCTGACAAGAAGCCTCCGCGGTCAGTCCGAAGATATTATATATCCATCCATGGATGCTGTCAGAACCTTGTCGTGCGATGAAGGCCAAGCAAATAATGATGCAACGGTTCGAGTTCATCTCGCAGTTTCGCATAGGGATATCGCCATGACATCCGGCGCTTGGTTCGTAACGAGTATGCGGAGTGTCGTTCATCGGCAGCCAAGAAGACGCCGAGACGTTGAGGTACCTTGAATATCACCAGCTTCCTGATCTGGTCTCGCCGCCAAGGAGTGCGACATGGTACATATCCGCCTTCCCCTCACTCCGGGTATACTGATAAAATTACGAATCATGCTCCGTGCGGTTTCTTGGTTTGCGGGGCGCTGCTATGGTTTACAAGTAGGTAGGGACCGAGAATGAACTCGTGTTGTGCCTTAACAAACTAGTCTTAAAAGGCAGCTAAGAAAGTTAGAAAGAGCACTTCTAAGGTTTGTTACGTCGTCGCTGCTTCTACGTTGATAAAGTTGAGTGTTCGTTGAAATGCGCGTGTCTAGGTGGGGTACAGGCAGAGCTAAGCAAAAAGAGCCTTTGCCCACCACGTTCGTAGAAGCAATCGCGGCAGGAAAAAAAGAAGTTGCGCCTATGCGTGTCATACAAAGGCAAAAAAAGAATGCTGATGAGAGCTACTGTGTGACCTAACCAGGGGTCGCTTTTTTTGGCGTTAGCGGCGGTATTCGAACGTGGGCTCCGGGAGCTACTTACAACCTGGAATCTCTTGATGTCGAACGAATCGTAGTCAAGCGCCTTGCCATTGGGCCATTAGGCCAGTTGTACTGTTGATAGAGAGCTTGCCAAATTTTATATCAATATACATAAAACATTGAAAGATTGTGCGATGGCGCTAAAGCGCGGGGCTCCTCTCCATGTACAGCCAAACGTCACTAGCCCCACCATACCTCTCCTTCAATTCGACGCACGTATCTTAGGCACCTACCATGACAGCATCCATCATGGCCGTCACACACCAAAGAGGCCGCTCGCTGGCGCAAGGTAACAGCGCTATAACCTGAAAGCCGCCCTTCAAGCAGAAGCTACTTCCGCAATTCCCATGTGTGGCCTGCTTCCATCCAAAGCATACACTCCTCAGCCTCAACCACCAAGACCGACAATGTCTACAAGCAAGGCTGAGATATACACCGCGCACTACGACAGCAACCAGTTTGTGGTCGGAGGCGGCGTCGCGATCTTTCACCTGGCCACGAGCCGTGTGGTGATATGCAGTTGCGTCCACCGAGGACGAAAGTTTTACTTTTTACCCAAGGGACGACGCGACGCCGGTGAGGAGAGCGGCACGGGCGCAGAAAGAGAAGGATATGAAGAGGTACGCGATGTGAACAGATGCTTGCAGCAGGATACCTACTAATCGCATGAACAGTCGGGCTACCGTAACCGTCTTCTCCCTCTACCCACCGTACATCGGCAACCACAAGCCCACCCACGCGTCCACGCTTCCCCACAGACTGCCGAACCAGTCTCTATGCAACTCATGCCTCTCGGCACGCGACAATACATAATCTACTGGTACATCGCCGAGACGCTTCCTCCAAACCTTGAGACCCTGCTTGAGACTGAAGCGGGCGCAGTATACAAACCGCCACCGGCGTACCCTCAGAATCTTTCTTTACGCGATAGAATAAAACAAGAACCTGAGGGATACGAGCCAAGACATCATGAGAACACGGGGGTAGATGAACTGGAAGTCACGTATGAGAGTCATCTCGTGAGCGTGGAGGAGGCAATGGAAACGCTGGGGAAGGAAGGCAGTATGGGTCGCGTTATGGCCGAAGTGGTGACGAAAGGCTGGGAGGGAATACAAAGGAGGTTCGAGATGGAGGACGCTGCCACGCATGAGAGCCCGGAAGCAGTTTGATGCGCACGAAAAGACGCGACGGACGAATGATTCCAGGAAGATTCCTTTGGGTTGGAGAACTGCTATAGCGATAGTGTCATTCACATCCACGGTCTTCGTCCGCAGTCAACTAGAGCTTATCAAGTGAAATGTCCAACACTACGAGTTACGCGATCGAAAGTCCCTTTAGAACCATAAAATCACTCCCTATCACATCAACCCCATCCAACAGCCACACCCACCACGTGTCTTCGCTACCGCAACACCTCCCCCGTCCAACAAACCTCGCTTCAGCAGAGCAATATACCTCACCCCACAACGTCATGCGCGTGTTATCAGCATTAAATGAAGCAACCCCGCCCCGCGCACGCGATAACCGTTTTCTCAAATAGTGGTAGCGACGGAGCATTTTCTTGAGCCAGGTAGCAAGAAACCTGCTCGCGCCGGCTCTTCTTATATTGCATTCCCCCATCCGTGCGCTCGCACGGCGTATATTCGCATGCAGCGGGGACGCACAGATGGCGACGGGGTGTTTTCTTCATTTGCCGTGTGTCGCACATGAAGGATACTCGTGGGCTGTGATTTTAAGGACGGTAACGGACGATTTGCGTGATGTGCGGTGTGTAAGAAGGCAGAAGTTCTGGACCTCGACAACATCCGTTGCTGGTTGAACTGGTTAAGCGACAAAGGCCCCTGCTCTGTTCTTTCATCCTCGTGGGCAATCCTTCAATATTAGCCAAGCGTCATACGAACGTCAGTTATCACGAGCATCTGACAAAGACGTGATAAAATTTCCGAGGCGCAGCAGTAGGGTTGTGGTTGGATGGGAACCTTATCTGTGCATGTGAAGGCTCGGGAGGTGCACGGATGGGGAATGCGGACGTTGGACATGCAGGACGGCTCGTGCTGAAGGTCAGGTCTGGATCCTGAAGGAACTGTGTGATTCGATGGGGGTCTAGAGGCGGGGTTTGATGAAGAGCCGGTTGCTGAGGAGGTGTAGTGATAGAAGGGGTGTTATGATGTTTTTCCAAGACGGGTAAGTCTGATCTTCCAATCATACTTCTACCAGCTCTTTTGTGTACTGGATACGACTTTCGACTTTAGTCCGGTATGACGAAGTCCGGACGCATACAGGCATCGTTTGCGATCGTTGGAAGTCTACGAGTGGAGAAGCCGCTGTTGGAGATTTGAAATGTTTGGGGACTGATTAGGAATGGAATGCTGTGAATCTGGATGCATGCCTATGAGGTCAATGCGAGATGACAACATGAGGCGGGAGTAATTGCGCAAACATCTACAGGGTCGATGCGTTGCTCCGGATCCTTCTGAGGAAGATGCAAAGGTACGTAACTGCCCGATACCGTGGTGATGTGAGATGGTAGTAGGTTTTTGTGAAGTACCCGGTCACAGGTAGCTGCAGCTACACCAGCTCAAGATCGGGATCTATCACCCTTGCCAGCTGCAAGCTGGACTTGCTCGGATGCCTCTCTGGCATCATGAACTACGTATTCCTACGATAATGGCGTTTGTTGAGGTCCAGTCAACGGAGTTGACACTGCCCATACGTAAGCAGTGCAGACTAACATACGTACCCCGTCAGCACGATGTACATCTACAAGCATCGGGACGCGGAAGTCTTGTCCAGACTTGAAGGACGATCGACATATCTGTTCGCTCAGCTGCAAGCCTTCCGTTCTCTTCATGCACCGTATTCAGCCGCGATCTGGGTGTTCGCGCACCTTCGGATCTCCTCACATCGTCCGAATTGCAGTAGAGCTACAGTGACTGGAGGAGCGTTGTGCAGTGCAGCATGAAGGCGCGCCAGCATCGATGTCTATGGATGAACTACAGCGACTTGTTGAGTGCGAATGAGGCGCTTTGAAACAACCGGGCCGTTGTATCTCCCAGCGCTCCCGTACACGGGAAGGCGCACTAGAAACGCATGGCGCGCGGGTCGCAAACGCCGAAGGCTTACGGTCGCTGTGTCATAAGAAGATACCGAATAAGAGTACACGGAACCAATCCTATACGAGGGTTTCAGATAAGCGTTCGTGATGGGGAGGTTTATTCGCTCGGCGGACGCGCGTCGCAGTCGTTGGGCTGCGGCGGGAGCAGGCTACTCACAGCCAGCCGTCGAGCGAAGGCGGAAGGGAGATGTTGCTGATGCAGTATCGTCCCGTCGATATACGCATGTTGTGTGTAAGGGTGTGCGACAGGTGTCCGGATCGCAGCAGGGGGCATGAGATTCACGTTTTGACGAAAACGCTAATGTAAGCTGACTACCAGGACCAGGGTATGTCATGTCAGGAAAGAGCGATGAAAATCGAATCGTTGTTAACTTGTCATCATTTCTGAGGTGATAGAGATATGTACACCATCAGTCAAAGTAGACGCCTTGAACACCAAACAAGCATCGCCGTGCTCGTGAAAGAACCGTTGTGGTGACGTGATAACATTGATAGTTAGCCCGAAGGCGCGCCCGACCACATGAATATTTTGTCTTCGTGCCTGCTCCACAGGATAAGATACAAGGAGTGTAAAAAGAGACCAAATCAAGCGATGATGCGGTAAAGAAAAGAAATGTAATGTATACAGCGAAGTAGTATATGCAAGCGTGTCCTCATTAGATCCAACATTGGTCCTTCCAAACATGATAGATTGCAAGGCTAGTGATCAATGGACGAAGGGTATACCCATGTGACGAGACCAGAGATGAATAGGGAGGATACGTTTACCACGAGAAAGACTCCTCGCGGAAGTCGACGTTCCACTGGGACTCGCGATTGCGGACGGAGCGACGGAGCTCATCCGCCAATCCACCAGTACCGCAGGTGCTGACACAGGCAGCACCAATGCCCTCTTGCATCTCCTGGTCGACCAAGGCTTGAACGTTGGGACGTCCAGGGAACATTTGGACACTGGAAGAGGGCGAGTGGATCTCCTTGGTGCTGCGAGGGCGGGTGACGAAGAGCAGAATCTTCAGGATCTCGCGGCGGCGTGGCATGGACAAGATTTGTGTCATCCATGTACGGATCCATTCCAAGTGCTCGGGCGATTGGATGATCCAGACGAGTGTAAGTCGGCGGGTGGCGACAGTTCCGTTGGCGTAACCAGCGACGATATCACGAACGTGGGGGACTTGGTGAGTGATACCGATGCCAGCAGCCCACAGCATGACAGTTCCATAAGAGCTTAGGTCCTCACCGCCTGTCATATGATGTTAGCATGGGTTGTTTAGATTGGATTAATATAAGCGATAGTGAAAAGTCCGGGGAAAAACAAGCTTCGGTACTTACCATATGGGCCCTCGACATATGCCGAAGTGGAGAATCTGCCGGAAGCGGAGAGGTCGGCTTTCTTGAACAGCTTGTCGGTAAAACCAGTTCGTCGGCGAATAATGAAAGACATGCTAGTCTTGTGGTGCTCGAGGATGTCTTGGCGGTTCATGGGAAGACCCTTCTCATCGGCGACGGACGAGGCAATGGTGAGATCTTCCTCTTCTTCACTCCAAGCGACAGAGAAGGGATGGTTGGTCCAGAGTCCGACGGAAGGAATGTACAAGTAGGCGTGCTGGCCGGGGCGGAACCTCCATGGGCGAGCCATGCGGACGGTCACACGAAGGGCGTCTCCGGGGAGAACCTCGACATCGCAACCGGTACCACCGTTTCCGACGTTGCGCGTGACAAGGCGGACGAATCTCCAGGTTCGCTCCATGACCCAGAGCGCGAGTACGCCGTAGAGCATGAACTGCTGCGGGCGCTCCTTGAGGTGGACCCATACCGCGCCGAGCGCGATGGCAGCACCGACAATGTGGCCGTGCAGGAAAACCTCGTAGAAGGAGTGACGCACTGGGGATGGAGACTGAATCAGGAGGAAGACGAATGCGACAGTTCCCTGTGGATGTTAGACGTTGTTGGTACTGACTTGGTACACAACTTACGATGAAACCTGTCATGATGAACTCGCTTCCAGTGATGGAGGCTTGTACGGCACCCCAGCCCTCTGCACATCTGTTAGCATCGCAATATTGACCTGTCTGACTGGGCAAACTTACTGGTGTGGACCTTGTTGGCGATCCAGCATACAGTGTGGGCAATGGCCTCAAGGATGACGATCCGTCCGAACCAACGGTGGATGAGGTTCATGGTGTCGAATGAGATACCGGTGAGCTTAATGATGGGGTTGTTGCGACCAGCAAGCAGGAACAAAGGGATCATGTTGATGACAGCCATGATACCGGAGCGGCTGAGAAGTTCACCGGCTCCGGCTGAGAAGCTGCTGTAGTCGATCTTCCATACACAGAAGCCTACGTTGACGGCAAAGTAGCCAACTAGGAAGAAGGTTTGCAGACGGCTGGGCAGGGTTCCAACACCAATGGCGGAAGAGAGCTTGAATTCGCGGTGGTGACGGGTGCGGAACAGAGGCGCATCGAGGCAGTGCTTCTTGAAAGCTGCGTAGGTCCTGTTGGGGATGGCGAAGTATCGTTGGGTTTCGTTGTTCAAGCACGTGACGGTGCGGATGTAACGGACGAAGAAGAGGATGACTTGGTACATGAAGAAGACGACAACAATGATCCACCAGATGTATCCGAGGTAGTGCTGGACGTCGAGGTTCTCAAGACCAGCAGTCGGGTCTTCCTCTTCATGACCCGCACGCTTGGAGAAACCACCCATGGTTTGGAGGAGAGACATTGTCGTTGATGGAGCGGTAGGTAACGGGTAGGAGTCCTAGGGGAGGGGACGCGGTCTAGAAGGTGTGCTTTAAGGATCCAGGACGGTAGGGTTGAGAGAGTGGACTCTGTCTTGGCCAGCAAACGACAGACGGGGGTAGGTGGGAAGAAGCACAACGGCACTTGTTCCGAATCGGTGATGCGTGAGTAGGCTAGAGATTCACTCCGATCGTGGCGATGATGTGGTCGTGCGTCGTGACCGGCTTCACTATAGTAGATTGGGCGGGCTGGGTTCAGGCGCAGGAGGCCAGGGTTAACGGCAGGCGCAATGCAGGCTCAGTTGACGTCGCCGGCGGTATTGACAGAATCCAGATAATCCAGATTGGGCGAGTTAATCAACAGGGATAAAGCAAACAAGGCAGCTGATGGTATGTAGCCGTTATGCAGGCGGAATGGGCTGCGGTGATAGGGCCTCGAGGGAAAATCGCCAACCAGGGGATATATTGCAAAGAGCCGGCGGGGAGGCGACGACTAGCACGCGGAGCGACGAAGAGAAAGTAAGTGCCAAGGGGGACCGAGGCGATAAAAGAGTGACGTGTGGTGAGCGAGTGTGGAGGTAAAGGGAAGAAGAAGGCTACGCAAGAGCGGGCGTGTGGGTAGAAGGGGAGCAATGCGTGAGTTTGATTATCGCGGCCTCTGATGCAGGATTGGAGGGAGTGCCTGACGCCAGTAGCAGGGGGGGTGCCTGTCGCGCTCCGCCTGGCCGCCGCAGCGCAGCCTGCTATTCGGGGACCGGGCGATGAAACGGGGGGTCCCACGCCACACGCGAGGCCCTAGGCGACAGGGCGTTTCATCGCTCCGAACAAATCCACGCACCCACCGCGACTTTCACCACACCTTGCGTCATCGAGGCCTGGAAGCTTCAAAACAACACATGGCCGCGGGCTTGGTTTGCTGAACTACAAGCGGCACGCCAAACAGGGATCCACCACCCGCCGCTCCTGCAACACTCCCTTAGCACCCATTCACCCCGCTGCGCCCCAGCCTGCAACGGCCCTTCATCATCTGTCCGCGACGACGAAGACCGTCTCCGCAACGCCTCGTCTTGGCCCACTTCGTCGCGCGGCACACCTCCCCGCTGGCTCGCCAATACTGTAGTTCTATCAAGTGCCCTGACTTATGCCATTCCAGTGGAGACTGCTGCCATGATCGGCCTCCGTCTCAGTACACACCAAGTACATGCCGACTCAACACACTGCAGTCAGCCAGCGTGCAGGATTGACCGCTGACTACCACTGGAACCGAGGCTCACTGGGGCGCTTGAGTGAGCATCACCTCAAACAATTCATGCCCGCTGGCATCATGCCGTGGCGCCCCATGCAATGCATGACTGGTTGTTTCATTTGTCCCGTCTTGCGGACGCTCCAACTGTCTGTTTTGACCTCTGCCCGGTAGCCCAGTCCTTGGGAGCTGTCACTCCATATCGGGCCGCCCTGTCTCAGCAACCCTACACATGCTGAAGGACTCTAGATTCGCAGGCAATTTGACGCGAGCCCTGGGTTCGGGGAGTAATTGTTTCTCCACATGGTTTGGGGCAGCACCACGATCCACAAGTGCTGGGACTGCTCGTACTACGGATGCGATTCTAGATCCTTCACGCAATCACCGCCGTGTGCTACCTGGCTGTTGAGAATGAGTGCGCATGCGGTAGCACCAGCCATATCAGCTGTTATCGCAACCTGCTGTCAACTACTTCTACAAATTACGCGTGCTCAACGCCCCCATCTTAGAGCGGCTGCTATGCTCCACGGCAAATTCACCGACGACGCCACAATGCGTTCAGAGTCCTCAACACGAACGGCTGAGACCTACGGACGTTCGTCCTGACACTTTAGCCTGTACCCGTCGTACGTCTTCGTCCATCACCCAAGATGGCAAAAGCAATTCCTTTGCGTTTGATGGCTTCGAGGATGCCTTGGTTCGGAACACTCTATAGTACAGCCGCTGTAAAATACGAGTCAAAGACAGACGTGCATCCATACTCCGCTCGAGTCACGGGACAGATCACATGTGACAGCTTCACGTTCCCTCCCGCCGCTGTCACCGCCAGGCAGACCCAGGCTTGTCACAGCGACCGCTGAGAAACTGTCAGATTGCCGTTGTTTCAAACAGATGACGAGGTCCATCTAGGCCCCACGATGTCGAAACGTCGTCAACGATCCCCAGGACGACGTTTCAAGGACAGGCACCTTTCATCTTCCTTCACTGAAAGGCAATCACTTCCCAACGTTACAATCACTTCGCAGCGTCTGACATGCGACACGACTACGCAAGCGCTGAGGTGGACTTAGCGTAAACGTTCGCAGCTATCGATAGTCACGCGATTCGGAGCAGGCGCTGTGTGTTTGGACTTCCGCACCCCTCATCGCGATCTGCCAGTCGTTGATGAACGAGCACAGCCCAGCAACCAGCTTGATGAGTTATTTCGTACCACTGCTAACTCGATGTTGAGCAGTGTTTTGACCACCCCTAAGACTCAATGCGCAGTTCTTAATTTCCGCATTCGTTTTGCTCGCTGCTCACCATTTCGCTTACCGGCCAGTAGGATGACCTGCCCTAGTATGCACGAAATCCTTCCGATGCGGATCGGTTCCTGGATCGACGAGCACGCGAATCTGACTGACAGGAACCGCGCCGCATCTTTCGACGTCAGAAGCAAACATTGCCGCTAGAATACTCGGATAACGCTTATGCGGATGTGGGCAGGTGTGGCTCCAGCGAGCGTCTGGTGTGGTGTTTACAGAGACAGAGGCATCCGCCACGTTGTAGGGGCAGGCTTATCGCGTCGGGGGCCAGCTGTCTCAGAACGCGAGTCTGACTGCACACCTGCTTCCGGCGCGTACTACATTCCTGGGCTTCTATATATGAGGCCCCGGAGACCCAACAGGATGACACGAAGATATAAGTAGTATACTCCGACCTGTGATAAGCATACAGTCAGGAGAATGAAGCTCGGATGCCTCACGCCCTGACGAAAGACAATCTACATGCGGGAGACATGTCTTCCACGCAGCCCCGAGGCTCGGAGACAAAGCATATCTTCAATTATGTTTTCGACTCACCGGAGCTCTGCACGGGTGGCTACCTCCACTCCTTGTGCCATCACATGTCTTCCACCCAGCTGTACAGCGAATTGTACGATGACAAGCATCTGTGATCCACGGTCGCCACTTTGCAAGGTTCGCTCACTAGGTGCGCGTATTGATGGGACACAGTGAGCATAGGAGTACATCGAGTCCGAACATCCGTTCTCCAGTGAAATTTCATCTGGAGTGCACAGCGCGCAGTCGCATTGTGGTAGACTACCAGTTGCATGGCTGTTGAACATGTGTGCGAAATTGGTGCTGCGCGAGTGAAATCAGTGTTTGGACGCGGAGACAGCAGCGCGTCTGGACCCTTAACGCCGACTGCCGATGTTGGTCAAACAAACAAACATCGACACGACAATATAGCATTGGCATAACGTATCACGATTATTCAATTGCGCGTATTGCTTCTATATGAATTAGACGACATATTTACTGTGATGTCGACCGACGACACGCTGCCATGGACGACTTCACGATGCAATCGCCTGCTGCGCCCACTCTCGTCCAAACTCGCGAAGCTGCGCAAAGAGCTTGAGCGACCACGAACCGTCAGCACCGAATCGCGCAATGCCTCCTCTGCTTTTGCGATCAAAGGCTCTCCACAAAAGACGACCAACTTCACCCGCCCCGCGAACAAGCCCCGAGGCTTCGAGAAGGCTAGAGACCCAGACTGGCGGCCAGGCGCGAAGGCAGGGACGGGCAAAAAGACAACGTATGGTGGCCGGGGTCGAGGAAGAGCGCCGGCATTGCAGAGAAACGGTTCTGGCACGGGCAGGGAGAATGTCTCTCGGCCGGGCGAGATCGCGTTTACGCCTCTGATCTCGAGGATGGGCGGACAGTTGCACAGCAGCCCACAGATTCCAATCTCGCCCCTGCGCAAATACTCCAAGATCAAGGGCCCCCTTCTGGCTCCGATGAATCCGCCCGCGACACATGTACCTGGCGAGATCCGCAAGCTCACCCAGGGACTATCCGAAGCCTACGCGAACATCCTACAATCGACTACAACGGGCGGTGAAGCGAGATGGAAGGGCACAAGGTCGCTCATGGGTGCTTGCTTGAGAAGGCTCCCGGCCTACATCGAACTCGAAGAGCATTTCGCAAAACTGGACAAGCTGGAAGAAGACGGCGAGGAGGAGAGGGACATTGCGAATGAGATCTACGAACACCTCGAAACACAGTTCGAGCAAGAGCATGGCCAGGGTTGGCGGCCTTTCAAATGCGTTGTCCGGGCGCATGCCACGACATTGGTGTGCGATGCTGTAACAGATGAGGTGCTTGGCCTAGACAACGTGCTGGTTCTCGTTACGCATTGTCTGAACTCCTCCGCTTGGGATGAAGCTGAGAGGTTGCTGCTGGCGTATGCACCGCTCCTGGAGTCTGTGTCTATACCCATCAACACGCGAGCGGACCTGTTTGACCCTCAAAAGTCGCCCTACCTGTATTCCGTGAAGAGCTTTGTGCACCACACAGGACGCTATCGCTTGCTCTACGATCTGCTAGAACACATGGTAGCGTTCGAACTTCTACCTCTCGAATGGCTCGCGACAGACTCCATGCGCCCGGTCTGGGACCGACTGGTTCGAACGATCACCGAGAACGACCGTCGGACGCTTGCAAGTGCTTCCCGGTTTTTCGAAACGGTCACCCTTGCAAGTATGGGATTATCGGATGCACGACTTCTAGAAGATGAAGTCACTGGATCTGTGTCGAGACGATTCGTGCCGTCATCTCGAGAGGAGCTTCGACGCGCGCTAGACACTACCTTCTCGAGCCTACTCACTGTCTTGTGCAGCATTGCTTTGGTCAACAATAGTCGCGACGATCCCGCAGGGAAAGAGATCGTACGGAGAGTCGCATCGGTGTTAGACTCGGTTGTCTTCGCTTTATCTGCCCGTGAAGACATCAGGGATGAGCTGAAGCTTCTTGCGCCGGAGTCGGACGATGTTCAGCTCATGGCTCAGCGCGCTATCTGGATCATATTTGCATCGTACCTGGTGCATCTTGGGGGCTCTGAGAACCCGGGCAAAGCATCACTAGATTCCTCCACCTCCATTGGACTCGTCAATTGGGTAGTCAACCAATATTCATCAAACATCGTCAACCTTGCATCAATATTCGCAACTATTCCAGCCCTAATCTCTTCGACCGCACGCGGTACGGGGCGCATCTGGAAGGACGATGGTTTCCACCAACTACAGCGACTCGTCTCAGCGCTGACGTCGAGCTCCGGTTGCAGACTACCCCATAAGCTATGGACCCTGAAGCGGCTCGCACTAGAATCAGCCAGAGACTTTGCCCATGGCACTGGTGATGCTGAGCACATGGCTTACGTACGCAATATTGAGAAGATGATGCATACACAAGGCCGCCTAGTTATCATGCAATCACCACAGAAGAACGAGTCGCCCACAGTCGGTGGCGGCTTCAGATGGGAGGAGGGCATTGGTGAATGGGTCACCTGCACACCGTTCGCAAAGCAGAACATTGAGCGCCAGATAAAAGAGCCAGTCCGAGCATTGGAACTCTTGCCAACTCCCGTACAGTCTGAAGATGAGAAGACAGAAGCATCTGATATTGAGGATGGACTTCCGAGTGGCATACCAGACACACCAGTGTGGGAAGTCACGGCTCTCGAATACGACGACAACCAAATACCACAATCGTCGCCCATCAAGAAGAGACCGCGGGTTTCCACCTCTTCACTCGGAAAACGAACTCGCGCACCATCGCCAAAGGTCGTCATATCCATGAAGCGTATGCATATAACACCCCCCGATACCCCACCATTCAGGTACTACTCTGAGCTTCCTGAAGAGAAGCACGTCGGTCCCAGGCGGTCTCGACGTCCGAAACAAGAGTCCCATGCATCTGCTGCTCGACTGCGCACCCAACGTTCCAGAAAATCACTTGAAAGTGGACTGCGCAATCTTAGAAGACCTGTCTATGCGGAACCAGCACTTGAGGTCACCGACACCGACACCGAGGCGTCCAGTTCCTCGCAGGATGACTCAGGGGATTCATCAGTGTCGGTGGAGAGTGTGCGTATCAAGACTGTTCAAACAAACTCTCGCTCGTCGGAGCGCACTCGCACACGCCGTTCCCTTCCGACCGTTCTTGCCTTCCACGATGACGGCGACATATCTGAACGCGACGAGCTCGGCAGGACACCCGCTCGTCCTCGTCTCCCACTCCGCAAACGAACAAGCGTTCGCCAGTCCATTCAGCCACGCACGCAGTGGATGAACTCACGCAAAAGCATAGTAGCAGACAGCGATGACGACAGTCAAGACGAGCTGAGTTTCTGTTAGGCACAGATCATGTACTCGTTGCACAGCTTAGACGCTTGTGTGCGTTCAGATGGAGTTTGTCATGCTCTTTTGCTTAGTCGGCGTTGAATTGCCTCTTTTTTTGTATCGATACCCCAAATTCTTCATCTTGCGTTGTTTAGTATGAAACATATATACATGCCATTATTGCGCTTCCCTTTGAATGTATGAAAGGCGCGATTGAAGTACTCACGTGTCGACGAATGCAGAAGACTGTGACGCACATGCGATGAACACACAGCCGAGATCTATGACCATCCCGTAAGGCTGCAACAAGCGTTTTGCTAGACTTACGGCTGCGGAAAATGGCATGTTATGAGGACATATGCCAACGACTCAACAGTGCACAGCCTGACCGAGCATGCATGCTTCCTTCCTCTGCTCGACGATTACAAGAGAAGTAGAACATAAATATAATGCTGCTACTCTCCTGTACTCAACTTCTCCACCGAGACTCAGCATACCTCACAAACCGACATTTCTCTCTACTGCGCACTTTGGCAGCGAATAGTGGGGCGAAGTTATGCACAAGAATGCGCTCAAACTCTCTCACCTTGGCGACATGCATGTTTCATACGTGGAAGAACGGCGAGGGTCGAACAGTATACGATGGGAAACACTGAAAGGATGAAAAGGATAGCAATACAATAAGTTTCTGAGTCGCGCATACGGGGGGCTGTTAGAGCTTTGCTGTACCAAAGTGAGTACGTCTGATCAGCGGAGATGAAGAGACACTCGCAAGATGGCTTGCATGTCGAACAATGTATCACAATAGACATGCACGCACACGTGGTCCCAGTTGATGTGCCTAAGCCGTTTGTATTTGTTTATTACTCATTTCTGCATCCCATGTTCCAGTCCATGTATTGTGCTGTTCAAATGATGGTGTGGGTCGATGGCGTTTCAGTCGCTTGTCGTATGTGGATATGAAATCGTTACGTGTTAAGGACAGGTGTCGAATCGAAGATTGCCGTGCCACATGTCGATGGTGCTGGTGGTAGAGAAGGTAAGTTTCTATCATCCGTTAGTAAAGCGATCCAACGTGGGAGATACAGCAGTCGCGCCACGCGGGCTGGCTGAGGGGCGAGGGCAAGGTGACGTACAGTTGCAGTTGCAAGCTCCGGGAGCGCAGCCGCAGTCGGCGCAAGTGCATCCAGAGTTTCCGCAGCCACCCTTCATGTTGATGATTGTTTGGAGAGGTTGAAAGTGTTGGTTGTGTAGTTGAAGGAGTGGTGTCGTTCTGTTACTTTGATCGTTTGCTGGTGGGAGAGAAAGCAGGTGGAGGGGCAGAAGCGGGGCACGCCTTTTATGTCCCTGACTTCCAAGGTTCGGTGACATACCATTTCCGGAAGGGTAAGATGCGACACCGATAGCCGCACTTACCAATAGATCATGCGCTACAGCTCGGGCTCTTTTCCAAGTTCGCTATTTAGGCGGGGCCGGCACGTTACTTGGCGAATCATGGGTAGAGAGTGCTGTAGGTAGTGACTGTGGTGGCGACTCGAGCGGTTGGATGAGGTATTGGCGCAGCACGTAACCTCGTTTGAGCAAGTTACGTGGGGAGCTAGTGTGAGCTTGCCGGGTGGGGCGTGAGCGAGCGCGTGTGCCACCGGATGCGAGCACGCTGTAGACACCCAGGGATGTATGATGTGACGTAGGAGGGTCATGAAGCAGAGGAATGCCGTTGCGCTGTTGTTGGTTTTGTAACAGAGCTCTTATCCCGACGCGGATGCTGAGTTCAGTCTTCGGTTCACCGGAGATCTGCAGTGATGGGATAGCCGTACTATGAGGATCCAACGTAAGCAGCCAGCAAGATCAGTGGTGACTGAAGCTCTTACACAGCCTTCAGGTCTACCTACACGGGTGTAGTAGACAGACTGAGACCTTTGTCGATGTTCAGATCACCCCTCTTTTCCCCATGTTGGCAAGATCGATCACTTCCTCTTCTACTTCGCTCTCAGCAGCATGCTTCCCTTTGGCGTTCTTGCTGTTCTTCGTTCCACCTTTGCTGTTAGAGTTCCCTTTCTTCCCGTCCTTGATGCTACCCTCATCATCCGTATCGTCTCCGAATAAGAAGCCTTTGCCCTTCACACGTCTCTTCTCGTCAGATGAGAAGGTGGAGTGGGCGGTACCAGAAGCAAAGTTGGAAGACGCTGAATCTTCACCAAGCATCCAAGAGAAATTGGAGGATGTAAGATGTGGCCGCGACGGTGGAGAGAGGGTCGAAGCAAGCTTGGACGGAGGTGATAATGTACGCGCGGGTGGTGAGGTCGGACGGGAAACGACAGGAGAAGGGTTCTTAGAAGCTGTTGTGGACGGGGTATTCGACGGAGACGTCGTGCTCAAAGAGATGGGTGGTACGACAGTAGCTTGTTTCGGCGACACCGGGGATTGAGGAGGCGGAGAAGATAAGCTGATCGCAGCCTGTGCAGTAGAGGCCTGTTCCGTTGCTTCGTCGATAGGAAGCGGTATAGAAGAGTCTTCAAGATAAACTTGCACGAATTGCACTTTCGCGATGGCAAGGCTGAGTGCCTCCATAGCTTCTTTTCCTTTCTCATCGCCTTCTCTCCCCTTTTGTGCTTCGTCACGCTCTCTGTGGTACTCCCAGAGGTCACCGACGGCAACTTCTAACATTTTAGCGAGACTCTTATTCCTGCGATCCAGCTCTTCCATCTTCTTGAATGTGTTCACCGAGTGTACCCTTTCGAGACTTGGTCGTCCATTGGCGCCAGAGGTGCCTAGTTGGCCAGGCTTCCGGAACTCCCTCCCTCCGGAACGCGGTGTCGACTGGCCAGAGGTTGCTCCTGACTGATAAGCCTCAACGTTCTTCCTTACTTCACCCACTGCATCTCGCAGAGCCTTCCCCACACCCCACTGCGATCCGCGATCCAGTACATTCTTCGCCGCACCCTGTATCAAGGCCTCGAAACCAGCGCCCTGTTGTGTCACGAAGCTTCTTGGCGATCCGATGCTCTGTCGCGTTCGGCTCGAGACGAATGACGGAGATGGCGATGGTTCGCGGACAGGTGGTTTCGATACAGGCTCGATAATGGGCGCTTGCTTCCCATATCGTGTAATAATCTCTGCCCCGCCGAGTGGGGTAAGGTGATCACGGAGATATAGCGCGTCTTTGATGAATGTGTACGGCGGTGCAGCGGGTTCAGGGTATCGCAAAAGAAGTGCAAAGGCTTCATTCGTATCAGCTGCCATCAACTCCCACCGTATGCGCAGTAGCATGGCTAATGAGATCATATCGACAAGCTCTAGCGTGGAGTCTATGGCGAACAGGGCGTCCCACACGTCGAAGACGGCGTCAAGTGAGAACTCCCGTCCGAAAAGAAGGCGTATCCAGCGCCTGGTACATATTAGGGAAGCTTGGCTCGAGCGCGCATAGTGACTTACAGGAGGAAAATCTGGGGCACAATCTCAAGCTTGACAAGATGCGTGTAGAGTTCTGGGTCCACCTTGGGTAGGTTGCCCTCAAAGATCCTGGAACTTCGCGCAAGCATTGGTGTGTCTTTGGTTATAGATCCAGTCTCGGCCGGCGCGTAGAAAGACTTGGCTGTCTGCATGATGATGGAGAAGAGCATGTGCGTGTCGTGCTCAATGTACCCAGAGTCAAGCATCTCAGCAAGAGTGTGGTCCATTGCGCCAGTCTTCTGGCCGTCCACGTCTATGGCATCTCTCTCCACGACCCACAGTAGTGGCGCAAGTATCTCGTGCATGCCTTGGCGATATCCTATGTCAGGATGCATCTTGCACCACACGAACAGTATGTCCAACATCATGGTCTGCGTCGCGGGCTGGCGGAAGTACACATTGTCAGGCATACATCGTTCGATATCCTGGAATATCTCGGCACGAAGTTCTTCGTCGGCGCGGAGGGCTACCCATGGTGACTTTTAACGCTTAGTACTTGTCAATAAGCGACATGTCTCGATGGCGGCGGCCGGTCGTGGGTGCACACACCTCTGATAGTTCGCTCAATGGGTCTATGGAAGACTCGAATTCGTCGGGATTATGTATGGCACGGAGGTAGTGCGATCTCAGGGACTCGTATGTCTTGCGCGCATGGCTGAGATGGGTAGGCCATGACGAGCGGTCAAGCGTCTTGAAGACAAGGAATATCTGACCGTACTGTGAGCGATGGAGGGGAAGAGGGGTAGATCGGACCGCACCTTCCAGCAGACGGAGCGGAGTCCTGCGGTGATCTGGGGTTCCTTGTGCGCAGATACGTGGATCTTGAGGTCAGTCAGAGAGTGGAACTCGTCGAGCTGCCGCCAGTGCTTTCTATGCAATGTCAGAATTGGGACCATGGGCAAGGACCGGCATGACGCACTCAGCTTCAGATACGGAGCGCATGGTGGAATATTACAAAGAGGGGTGTGAGTACTGTGTCGGCAACCCAAGCACCCTGTTGGTAGCTCGGCGCCGTGATGCAATCGCGCGCGGCGGGGCAACTCGAGCCGACGACGTCACGTGGCACGTGAGACATGACCTGGGCACTTCCAACGTTGGTTGCAACCATGGGAAACTCGGATGGGATGTCGCAAGCACGTCAGCTAGGGTGCTGCTTGCGAACGCGTTGCTAGGTCACGTCTGTAGTCAGTGTCAGGGTCTGCTGCGAGTTTGGTCGGTTGCCAGAGGAAACAAGAATAGATCACGACGTCACAGTAAAACTATGATACGGATACGATAACGGTACAGTGTAGCATCGGACGATAGCGTCTAACACAGTCAATAGCTTCGTTCGTGGTAAGTTTCTAGATTTTCTAAATGCATCGCACGCTACGTTCGCTAAGAACGGGATCGCATGTGGATAAGTGAACGATTTAGTTTACGATGCAGCATCTTCGGCTGGATGCCAATGGCGGCGCGGGAAGTCGCATACGCCGTGTGGCGTAGACTATTCGTACGAGGGATAGAATAGGAACGAGAACGAGCTCTGGCCTATCGAACCAAACTTGGCTCGTTGTTCTCAGCTGCCTCCGGGGCTGGGAATGTCGGCATCGACGGAGACCTTGGCAGCGACCAAGCGAACTTGCGATGATCGACAATGTTTTGACTTGGCACGGTTCACTCTTTCTTCGCTGGGGGTACAGCGTTCCGCTGGCCCTCAATGACGAGCCTGTCCATGAGGCCTGGGGCTAGAATGTCCTGGCGGAAGCGCTCCTGCTGCAGCAACTCCAGTGCACGCAGCGTGGGGCCGGGGTGACTGCGCCGAAGGGGTCAGTAAGCAGGCGGTGTGAGGGGCGGCGAACATACTGCAAGAATCTGGTGTACTTTGGGTCTTTGAAGTACTGCAGGTAGCCGAGGTATGCGACAAATTCGGGCTTGTCGAGCGTCTTTTGCTGGGCCAGGTAGTTGAGATAGACGGGATTGGCAAGGCACTGGACAAACTAGGCGCGTGTTAATGAAGGTCAAACAGGGGCTAATGACGACGCAGTATAGGGGAATTGCGGACCTCGAGCTCGAGCTCAAAGCGCGAGTAGCCTCCCACGCCCGGGACATGTTGCGCCGTCTCGTGAGCCATGGCTGGAGTCTCGGATGTTTGACAGCTGACGGTGCAGAGTCGCGATGGGAGCGGCGCTTGCAGGTCACGCTGAGGCTGAAGAAAAGCAGTTCAGGGTCTTCCCCGCAATTGCCAGGTTGCGCAGAGTCGGCAGCTAATCCAGTTGGGTATATGAGGCGGGCTAAGGATCACGCACTTGCACAAACAGGTGCAAGGACGGCAGGGTTGATGAGCTTGTCGTCGACGATGGACGGTGGAGTGTTGCTGTTGGTGACGGTGACGGGCGGTGATGGCTACGGAGAGACAGTGTTTTGGGATTCGTTGAGGCGGCCTCTACCAGACGTGTATCATACTCTACGTACGCACTCTGCAGGCGGCCGACACAAACAGAGGGCGTCCAGCGCAGCCAAATGCAAAAGCGATGCACATCGAGGTCCAATGCCCCTGCGCTGTCGTGCACGTGCAGCTCGGGCCTTGACCCCACAGCGTAGCGGATTGGCACCCTGAGTTGCCGTCTAGACAGTCTTTTCCGGGCCAAAGTGGCTGCCCAGGAGCGTTCTGGGAAGCTCGTGATCGGGCGCTCGAATCACAGACAGACGGCGCCACGGAACCACGCACCCACGGTTTTGCGGTTGCGGTAAACACGAGGCCCAGCCCAGCGCCCTCTAAAAGCCTAGCTAGGCCGCGCTTGCTCTCGACGGCCTACTACTCCCTCTGCTCCCGCTTCCTGCCTCCTGTGCATTAATCACTGCCATTGCCATTGCCATCACCTGCTTTTGCTTTACTCTCACCTCTCACCACTCCACCCACGCCCAGCCCCCGCGCATTGCTGTCCTGTATTCCATAGGCGTTGCATAGACTACTAACGGGCCTCAAACACCAGCCCATCAAACACGCGCCCCGCCCGCCTGTCGCCCGCCCGCCAACGGGGCCCGTCTATCCTCAGCGCGAAACACAGCAGCATCGGTACCGCCAGTCTTAGCAAAAACCGCGCCCCTATTGCTGCTTCTGCCGTAGGCGAGGCGCGCAGGAACAGGATTGCCCGCCGTGCGTCACCAGCCAGCAGTTGCACAAAGCACGCCTGTCGTCTCCCGCGGCGCCAGTGTTTGATTGGGCCGCCCAGCAGGGTTGTGAGCAGCAGACGGCATCATGTTTGCAGAGCCGTCAATGCCAGGTAAGGCTGCTCCTGAATTTGCCTGTTTCACCGAGACTTGGGCTGTGACGAAATAGGACGCGCCGCTGATCATATTGCTTATCTACAGAAAGGCGACCCTCGCCAGGCCTACAGCTCAACCTCTCCTCCAACAACCCCTTCCGCCGCGCTGCCTCTCCCGGTTTCCCCTCGCCCGCCAGTGCCAACCGCTCGAGCTCGGGCAGCAGACCAATGTCGCGCAATCCCTTTATATCTACCTTCGAGGCCGAGTTTAACAAGGAGGCATCCAGAGACCTCGTTGACATGTCGGCCACCATGAAGGACTCTCCCAAGAAATCAAACTTTGGCTTTGCCGCCGAAGAGCTCTTTGTACGTTCCTCCCCCTTGCAGGCCAATCGCCCGTGCCGTGACGGCTGCCAGCGCCGTCACGTCGTGCAAGCCGCGCACGCTGCACGCTGTAGTAAAACGCGGTGCAGTCTCTAGCTACACCACCGCCATTGAGCCATCAACATGGACCGCTTCAGGCGCTTTGTGATGCATTTTGCTGACTACCCTGCCCTCACCCAGGCCAACCTCACCATCGACGACACCGATAAGAAGCGAGCTCCCCCGCCACGACCTGCCCCTGCTCGCAGCGGCACCGATCCCCGTGCAGGCCACCGCCCCTCGCGCTCTGAAGAAGAGAGACAGCGCATGCGAGAAGCTTCCCGCGGAGGCTCTCGACCACGTGGACCTCCCAGCTCGTCTCGGCCTCCCCAGCTCAACAGCCCTGAACGCCGCGAGAACCGCCGTCCCCGACGCAACTCCGAATCCTCCATTATCGACCGAGGCTCGCTCGACCCGCGTGAAGAGCGCAGGCGCAGGGAGCGCCGCAAGGAGCGCGAAGAGCGTGCTAGAGACGGCAAGGACAGCAAATCTGGCGGCAAGAAGGTCCGCAGGCCGCAGGGTCTTGACCTCATTGACAAACTCGATGTGACTGGCATCTACGGACCTAGCATGATCCACCACGACGGACCGTACGACGCTGTGCAACCCCATCGCAACCGTAAGAAGGACCAGCGCGCACCCATGCATGCTTTCCCCGTTGGTTCAGCCAACAACACTCTGGGTGGTTCTGGACCTCTGAACACAAAGATCGATCTGGACAGGATCCATGGCAGGGGTGCCGAGGGCTTCACCGACTTTGCCGGTGCCGAGACCGAATGGAAGAAGCCAGCCCCAGTGGCCGCAGAGTTCAGCGCAAAGGGCCGAGAAGACATTGTACACGGCGAGCAGACCCATGGTCTTGGAACATCTACCTTCCTCGAGGGCGCCCCGGCTTCCCGCAAAGCGATCCAAGAAGAGTCCGATGCTCAGAGGCAGAAGCAACTAGCTGATGGCGGTCTCGGTCGCAAGAAGTCCATCGCCCAGCGATTCCGCGGTATCTCTCAGCCCCGTCGTTACGGTGACGGCCCACGCATCACTTCGCCCGAGGCACGCTACGGAGCTGCCACCAGCCCAAGCGGCCCTTACAGCGCCGGAGCCATCTCGCAGACGAAGGCCGCAGAGCAGAACCCTTTTTTCAGCGACGACTACGATAAGGCATACGACGCCAAGGGCGCAGCCATCAAGACCAACGAGGGCGGAGCTTCACCACCGCGGGGCGCTGCGTTGCAGCGATCCATCACCACCGACAGCGTAGGATCTCCCACAGGCGAGGCCAAGCCCAGCGGTGGGTTCCTCAACCGCGTCAAGTCTCTCAAGGGCGGACGTCGACGTCCCGCTTGAGTGTTCCCAGGCATGGTTGAAACGATTCGACCACTTCACTCACCTTTCCTCTGAGCGGCTCAGGTCCATCTCGAAGGACACAAAAGACACGATGTATATCGCCCACGGCGACGACTGCAGCCAGCTTATTTCTCCTATCGTCACACACCTCCCTTCGGGTCATACACTTTCCTTCCGTCTAGCGCTGGAGTCGTTGGGGCTTGAAAGCACGAGGTCTGGATACCACTCATGTGTAACAGAACTCAGGCACGCTTCAACAAGATAGAGAAGGCTCTCCCTTCTTCAAACCGCCTGCTTCAATTTTTTCAATCGAGTCACTTTTTCCTTTCAATGCGCAGAAATTGGGCTACTTGCATAGCTCTTATAACACATCAAGTTTGCGATACTTTGGGGATGCGAGGCGTAGAATCTGTAGCTAGGAATGAAAATTTGCAAACATCAAGATACCATACGATTGGAACTCTACACATGTGATGCCGTTTATTTGCCTCCGTTGATCGCCATCTAGACCCGCTCGATGTTCAGGGGCATCCGACTGTTCCTGGCACCCGCTAGGATCGTCCTTGACGCGTTCCTGTCGCCCAAGAAACCCCCACTCGAGCTTACTGCCCAATCCTTGAGGAGCGGACCTCGACGCCGCAGCTGCGTTGCCCCTGGCACATGACCTGAGGATTTATCGCCGATATCAATGCTCTCAGCCGCACGCCACGACGCCAGCACTAAGATCGGCGGCGCGGAAGTTTGGATCGCAAGCCACTACCGTATTTCTCCAGTAAGATCTCCGGTGCCACGTTTCGGCGAGATATTGCCTAGTGTCGGCTAGTCGATTGGGTGGTACGTTGCTGTGGAAGAGGTTAGCTGCGATACGTATCTGCGGGCTGATAGGCGTTGATTGATGCCCCAGGATTGGGTTGAGCATGTAGTGTATACATAGGTTCAGGATTTTGTAGAGCTAGTACATGACGTGAATGCATCACTTAGTTGTTTGGTGTGTGAAGAAGCATGGAAGTGCAGGTGCTGCTCTTCTTTGATCAAGGCCTGGCGCGACGAGACAGTGATGGGTCTAGTACTAGGCAATGTCGAAGAGATTCCTATATGCACGTGATTCTGGTAGCCACATTGTTTTCGTTGTCTGTCAACATGTCTCCAAGTTGATGAACAGTAGAATTGCACGCTTTCAACAAAGGTTGCACCTTCCTCTAATCCATCTCGCGCTAGCGCTTCTCTTTCCGAATGCGGTTCCGACAAGCCTGCACCATTACACTCACGGTTCCGTGCCTCACCATCGTACACCAAATAGCGATATGGCTGCCGCTCAACTAGCTCTTGGTGGGTTGAGTATATCAGTAAGACCCGCAGAGCCGTTGCTCGCATCCCAATTGATCGGCGACCAAGACCTTGATGAGCTGGTCGAGAGCGTGTGCAATATCAATCTTCAGCATCAAAATAGCGTTGGAGGGAACATACTGCAAACTGGAGTCAAGAGCTTGGACGATGCTTTCGGCGGTGGGATACAGAGCGGTAGAGTTGTAGGAGTCAGTGGAGAAGCTGGGGCGGGTGGAAGTGAGGTGAGTATCCCAATTGTGGATGTCAAGCAACAGCATATGCGAAGAAGTTCGAAAATGAAAGGGCTATAGGTTAACATTTCTAGATCTGCTGCACGCTACTCGCGAGCTCTCTTCTTCAATACAAAAATTCGACGGCTGCTGTTGTTGATACTACTGGCAACTTCGATGTGTTGCGACTTTACACCATGATCGTCGCTCAACTGTCACGACGACCAGATGTCCAAACGTCCTTGCGTTCCTCACTAAATCAGGGGCCTGAAGCTCCGACTGAGGATCTAGCAGCAAAGTTACTTGATCGTGTCAAGATTATGCGTGTTTTCGATTTCGTGGGTGTGAGAGAGGCCATTGGTGAGATCCGGGATGAGATCGAAAAGAAGAAGGATGTTGAACGTGCTTCAAATAGTGAAGAGAAGAAGACAGAATTACCCATGAATGAGGCTGCGAAGGAGGAGCCGCCCGTCGAGAAGGTGCCAGTGAAGCGGACTTATGTCGCGGACAGCGAAGACGAAGAAGACGACGAGGAGATGTTATTCGATTCAGATGTTACCGGCACCAGAGCAGCGCAGCCTGTACAGAACCCAGAACCAACGCGAATCGAAGCATCAGAAGACACAAATGCAGAGATTATACCGGGACCCATGAAGATCGTTCTGATCGACAACCTGGCTCAAGTCCTCAACCCTTTGTTAAAGAAAGACTATATACAAGGTATCTACCATTAGACCCCAGCTCCAACATTGACTGACCAGCCCCAGCAAACGCAGTAGCAGCCACGTTCCTCACAACGCTCTCAAACCTCACAAAAGCCCACGCACTCCACCCTCTCCTCATAAACCCAGCTCTCCCTCCACGCGCTTCCTCACCAAAACGCCCTGCACCACAACATGAGCTAGGCCCTCTACCTCCGCAACAGCGGCGAGAGCCCCCACTTCCACCTTCCATCTTCGCGAGTAACGATGTTGTACCGAATTTGGTGCATTTACTAGGACGATACATGGATATGGAGGTGTTGGTGAGTCGGCTACCGAGACGGAAGATGGATGCGAAAGTGTACTACAGTGATTCTGGAGGGAAAGGGACGAAGCGAGGTGTTGAGATGGTGAGCGTGCTGGAGGTAGTGAGTGATAGGTGGGGAGGGAGGACTGGTGCGTGGGGTACTTTTCGTGAGAGCAAAGATGGTATCAGAGATATTTGAAGTGTGTTCAATATCAAGATATGAATCTAGGATGCTGATGCAGAGGCTTCTAGGGAGAAGTGGTCGTCACCAGTATTTCTTACCCATCCCTTCAGTGTTTTGCGTATGTCATCTTTGACTTTGATTCTGTCTTCCAGCCCTTCAGAGTTTTTCAGGTCCGCATACGTCTTCATGCGAAGCGCCTCACTAGCCGCCACCGCTCCACCCAATAATCCTGCTAAACGAATAGCTTCCATCCATAGTCCCTTCCGACATATTTTACTTGCTCCCCGGGGGTCTAATTGTTTCCGACCCTGCAGCACACCGCCGATCAAAGTCTCCTGCCAGCCTGGCGTCCACACAGCGGAGAGATTACTCGGCACGGCTTTTTCGGTAGCAGATAATGCGCGGCGCGACCACGTGAACTCGCGGGTTGTTGGAAGGATATTGAACGGTTGGAAACGATAGCCGCCTTTCCACTTTGTGGTATGCTTTGGGTCGAGACTCTTGAGTCGACCTGAGGAGGAAAAGGCCCGCTCGCATGCTTGTGGTACGTATTGGGAGTCTGGTAGAACCAAAGTCTCCAAGTAAGCATTCCGAGGACTGATTAGTAGAGATGATGTAGATGACAGCAAGGAGGTGGCTTGTTTGACTGCCAATTTGTCGGTGCAAGATTTGCTCAGCGTAGGCGGGGCATCCGGTCGCGAAGGCTTTGCGCGGACAATGCCTAGAAGAGAGAAGTTCGACCGACCTCGAAGAGCCAAAGTCTCTACTTGGTCAACTGCATCAGATGCGGTAGATAGAGTTGGTGGTGCACTAGTCCACGGCGTTGCATCTTCCTGAGCAGCCATGGTGAGCTCCATACTGGCATCTCCACAGGGAGCTTCAGAGCAATACATGTGAATGGACACATCTTCTCGGATGGTGAATGGCTGGCGTAGACTTTCGGGATGTTCATCAGGCGACAGCCGCCGAAGGAAGTCGGATGCTGGATAAGGCGGCGTCGAGATGAGAATGCATTCATCTAGAAGGTAGCGGTTGAAGGCTCGGAGCGCTATGACTTCGGCGTGCCAGTCGTGCAGGATGTTGCCGTGTGCGAGGGGTAATTTGTTGGAGGGGAGACATTTCATGCCAGTTCTAAGAGAGGTTCAGCTGGTGTCATGACTTATTCACAGGTCGTATCGTAGTATGTTCGAGCATGCTAAGTTCAGAGCAATCTAGAAGCTCCTCTTCCTCAGTGGGGCGTTTTGCCCCTGCTGTCTTAAGTGTATGCGTGGTGTCAAACCCGGTAAATCACTGGACTACACGATACCCGTTGAAGAGACAGTCTTCGGAGGTCGGCTGATGGAAATGGCTCACCCTAACGATACGCATGATAGAGCGCCACCTTGACTAGGTCATGAGCATAAGCAAGCATAGCTCCTTCCGGAAGCAAGTGAGCGATTACCTTTAGATAAGACAATTCCGGCGAGGGGTACCCATTCCCTTGCGCCATCGTGGCGGGGTCTCGGCTTCCGCTTTCCAGGTAGCTGAGCAAAGGCCCGGAGCACGCAGTCTGCGATGGCATCTGCGTCGGCGTCTGCAGCCATGGCAGTGAAGCGAGGTGGTGGGTGAAGGAGCGAGGGCGCGGTTGGGGCTCGGAGCATCCGGGGAGCCAGGCACGTCAGGGTCCATTGTTACCTTCGCAGTCGCAGAGCATCGCTCCTGCTACTCAGTCACAAAGAACCCTGTCACACGCTCAGCGCGAGTGAGACCCAGACTCCTTCACCTCCCCGTATCGCCTTGTTCCTCCTCTTCTCTTCTCAACATGCAAGCGTTTGGTGAGCAATGGCCGTGCGCCGCACCGTCGCATTCGCGACTCAGACACTCACAATCACAGTACCCAAGAACCGACGAGTAAGACTGAGCCAGCACCTCAAAGTTACACGGGCTGACATTTGCGCAGCCAAAATTTGATCTACACCTACGAGTGAGCTATCCATACACAGGCATACGACCACACTCTGACGACAGCAGATAATCGACCTCAACAACGTACCACTCGTTTCTGGCACCTCATTCATAAAATGGCACCTCTCCCACTCGACGGCCGCCGAGCACCGCGGTCGCACAGACAGCTGCCAAGTCAAAGACCATAAAGTCGCCTACAACTACGACATCACCCTCCCCGTCCGTCTCACCGTCGACAAGAATGGCATGCTGCAGGAGTGTTATGTCGAGTTGGAGGTTGTGCAAGAATACGGCCGAGGCTCAGGAAGAGGCGAGCGCATCACGTTAGGAACTGTCAAGCTCAACCTGGCCGAGTACGTGGAGCAGAGCGAGATGGCGACCATCGCGGGCGAGGAACCGGGCGTCACGAGGAGGTACCTTATGCAAGACAGCAAGATCAACAGCACGCTCAAGGTCGGAATCTACATGAAGCAGACGGAAGGCGACAAGAACTTTGTTGCGCCAGCCTTGAAGACGGCGCAGGTCTTCAGTGGCATCGCTGGTATCATGGCGGGAGAGCAGGCCGAACTTGAGGATCATGGAGGTGGGAAACTCTGAACTATACACGGAGCTCGTGCTAACGCCCACAGCTGCGCCCTCCCTGACGAGCAAATCCCGCGAAGCCGGCGAGCTCCAAGACATGTACAGACGCACCCTCGCCGCATACTGGTCCGCACAACCCGGCGAGCTCAAGGCAGACGAATGCATCGAAGACATATTCGCTGGCGGAGACGGATGGGGCGACCGCGAGAAACCATACTCCCAGCAGCCACGAGCTCAGCCCTTGCGATTTGCAGCAGGCGATAGCAGCAGCTCTGTGAGTGAGAGCGAGCACGGTCACATGCGCGGCGGCAGCAGCGCTCATCGCAAGTCGCATGAGACGCTGCGCCCTGGAGATATGAAATCGAATCACTCGCCGAACGTGCGGGGCCGGGGAAGTTTGGAGCAGCAGGCATCGCAGATGAAGGCAGAGGCGGCGCGCAAGCGACATCGTCCACACCATGAGGTAGATGAGTTTGACCTGCGCGAAGATCTCTGCAGCTGGCGTCGTCCAACTTGAAGTTCAAAAGGTGCCACTTAATGCAAATTCCTACATTTAATATTGAACTCTGAAGTAATGCTCGCGGGCGTCGCACTATGACGCGCCTCACACGTGAAAGCGCGATGGCAGAATTAGGGCGGTCACGAAAGTTGGAGCACGCATCGCACTTTCCGAGCCCGTCACTGCCATCCTCATTGCACTTTTTCCTCGCTTCGTCCTCCTTCATGCTTGCGCCCCGGACCTCGAGTGCATTTGTATGCCTCCGATGTGAAGCGCAAATTGCCCGACGGCGACTGCCCGCTTTTCCTCGCCCACCATCCCGAGCCAGGTTTTCTGCGTCTGCACGCCGCCGCGGTGATACTGAAGACGAGCAACCACCGCCTCTGAAGATCACAAAACAAGTGACGCCGATCAATCGCTTGAGGAAGAGGAAAGGAGAAAAGATCCTACGGGAAACTTCGCAAGATCTGGGCGTCAAGCGATTGGGCGACGATGCCGATATCTTGGTCCTGAGGGAAGTCGGGGAACCAGCACAAAGAGAAGCCACCACAACCACCGAAGCCTCCGAAGATGCCGAAGTAATCGAAATCTCCGAACCTCTCGAGGTCCCAGACATTCTTGCCTCACTCGAAGAAGAAGGGAAAGCGCTCGCGCCGGAAGAAATATACAAGCAGATCGAGACCTTGCGACCGAACAACGATGGCGACCCCAATGAGCCGCATCACGTCAAGCAGACTACGTTTGTCAAGCTGAGAAAGAAGCTCATGAAAGGCTTCACGCAACAGCAATTGATAATCTTCTACTCGGTCGCAAAGAATATACGGCAAGAGAAGGTCAATCAGGGAGTGATCGACAGCATCAAACGGAAGGACCAACTAGGAAACCAGAAGCAACCTGTGGAGCGATCAGAATGGCAGCCAGGTACTACGCCGATAACTCAACGCCTGCCTGGCGTTGATCGTATTGTCAAGATCATGGGCTACCGCAAGAACGTCAGCAAGCAGCTGCTTGTTGATCGCATAATGAGGGATGTTTGGAATCTCGTACTCTTGGAAGAAATCGAATCCCCCGGAGAGCTAGAGCTTTCTCTGCAACCGTGGCAGGTGATGCTGCTTAAGGCTGGTGGTACGTACTATAGCATCCTTAATCGTGGATCTCGCTAACATGCCTGCAGACAAAGACACCCTTTTTGACAAGATTCGACGGACCCGACGAGTGAGGCTCGACATGTACAAACCGGATAACGCCCTCCGCATCACATCCGATAAGACGACAGCAGAGTACGCTGCCAATGATATCGAGGAAGCTTTCCAACACACTGAATTGAAACGGATGAACCTGAACAACTATTTACGCCAGCTAGCAAATGGTCCTGTTGCGTTGGATTCAAAGTCCAATCTGGTAACTTTGTTTTATACACAGAAAGACTTTGATGTCGTCTCGGCTCTGACTCGCACGAGTATTGAGGCAGTCGGCAAGTCTATGGTATGCACGATCTCTGTAAATCGTTCATAACCGAGCTAATTCTTTTAGTTGGTAATCAGAGGCTTCGACGTGAGCTCCATAGAAGAGGCAAAAAGGACACTGGTCAGGTTTTTGCCTTTCAAGGATGCAGCTGAGCGTACCTTCGACACTCAGAAACTAGGAAGTGCCGAGAGTGCAGCGTTCTTGTCGCCGGTTCTTACCGAACACGATTCTTTCGAATACAAGTATCGCAAACGAGAGCTGGGACGTCTGTCAATGCCTATCATGCGGCTCACTGAGCCTGACACTGTCGAAGCTCAGGCTGCGAAACCCGCAAAAGCCCCCAAAACAACACTCCACGGTCTCGTGAACCGGACTCTAGGGACCATTCTGCGACCCGCTTCTGCTGTGCCATTGCCTAAACACGAGTTGAGCAATTGGATACCGAACCCAACATACGAGGTCTCCGCCGAATTTGGCCAGGCTCTATTCCCTCTCGAAGATGTGGACCCCAGCCGAGTAGTGGAAGCTGCTCTTTCTGATCCATCCAAGGCACCTTTTCTGTCAACATTCCCAGGACTGAATAGTGTCTTCACGTCGCCCAACTATTCTGTCGTTTCGCGCTTGCAAGCACCATCTTTGCACTACGAATTTAGACCTGACCTGGAGCACGAGCTAGGACAAATATTGCCCAAACTCAGGATCCAAATGCGTACTGGTCGCAGTGGTGCCAGAGCCACTTTCCGCAAACTCGCACTGAGCTTCGATCATCGTATCCACGATGTTCTGCTCCCAGACAAGGCCGTAGATGTACGATTTCAACGCCGAGCAAACCTCAGCTTCAACAACAGGGACTACAACGACGAGAATGTACAGGCGTGGGTTGATGCCGTAACAGAGAACATTGAGAGCGGTGGCCGCCTCACTGCGCCACCTCTCCGCCTACAGATCCCCAAGTGGACTATACCCGGATTCCCGAGTGAAGAAAAGGGCATGCGTACCGTCACTTATCACTTCTCTGGTATCCAGTTCCGGCAACCGGTGATTGGAAACCTATTCGGTGTAGCTGTTTCGTACAATACTGTACAGTCTGGCAAGCTCGGTGCCAAGGGCGCCGCGCTCACTGCGCATTACAGTGGCCATGGCGATACAGAGTTGCGCGACGAAAGCGCGATGAAAGCCTTCGTGGAGAGGTGTTTCAAGATGGCAGACTTGATCACTGATGCGAGTAAGCAGACACTTCCTCCGTCTCGCGTAGTCCGCCCACGCGATATGAACAGTGGACGGAAGGCGAAAAGAATGGGATTATCGGGCGATCGAGCTCAGGCTGTGGATGAGCAGAGCATGGAGCCGCCGAACGATCTTGTCGAACGCGTTGGGGAATACCCGGATGTGAAGGACGATGTTGAGGCGAAAGAGAACGCGGTAGCTGTTGAGGATGTGGTGGAAGAGCAGCCAGTTGATGGAAACATGGAGTCACGATCTGACGACTTGGTTACCGAAAGCGAAGACAACGTTCGCACTTTGTAGTCACCAAATTCAACTCTTCAAAGCAACTCTCACCAAAAATCTGGCCATGTTCCTAACTTGTTAGCACTCATCTCATGGAGCGTCACGTCAAGAACATCACAGTGAGATATTTTCTTCGAGCAAATCATCAGTTCGTAAGAATTGATTAGGCCATAGTATGGCGATCTTAAGAAAACACGGATGCAACGAGTAATAATGTGTCCATGCTTCTACATGGGGTATCTATCTACCGTGTATCTTGCATGAGTTGTAGCAGGCCTTCTGCGGCGTCGCTCTTAACACCGCCGACACTGCTCGCCAGACTGTAGTGTTGTTGCTTCCTTCTTTGAAGCCTGTAGTGTGGATTCTCTTCCTGCACGTTGATGCGCTCTGCATCGTGCTCCCCCATTCGTGTTCTTGAGTCAGAGTGCGGAGGGTAGTAATTCCTGGGTCGCACAGGCGACGAGAGTTGATCGGGGGCTACTGAATGGGGCAGTTGAGGCCCGGGTGGTGAAGACGTGAATGCATAGCCGGGCACCATGCGCGATGATGCGGGCATGTTGCCTTGGGGTATGGCGAATTGAACGGGTGCGGGACCGAGTTTGGAGATCGGGTGGAAGGGATCTAGGTTGGCCCTCACGAAGACTGGTCCTTGATCGCGTCGCGGAGAAGATACGGTGATATTGGGTACGCGGGGATCGCCTAGAGATTCGCGTGAAGTTGTCATGGCTGTTGATCTTGACGCGTTGAGCGCGTCCGACGAGTAAGAGGCGCGAGCTTCGTAGGGTCCAATGATATCCGCGTCGCGTTTGGTGACTTGGTTTGTCTTGAGCTTATACAATCCAAACTTGAGACGCGTGCGCAACTGTTCGGCACGCGATTTCCTCTTTCCTTCCACGGGTGCTGGTGCGGGGGGAGCCGCTGGCATAGCTACACGTTCTCCATGTTCGCTCTTCTGGCTGGCACACAGCTCGTAGTTGAGAAGGTCGGAGAAGGACTGATTGCTCTTCTGGGAGGCTTGTATCGGCTCTGGTTCGGGCGAGGGTGTTGGTGTAGCGCGCTCGGTGGGAGATCCAGGATCTGCGAGGCCAATAGGGTTATTCTCCTTCGATATGTCAGTGGTGTAAAGACGCGTCAGTATCGCGTGTGGCCTACCGTATGCTTCTGCACCGCATCAGTGGTTAGGCGTACGCCGGCGGTAGGGAGACTCTCGTTGCGGGCGTGGGCAAGCATCTTCACACTCTCAACGGCCTCAGCGCCGTCGACGTCTTCTATGCCCCTCTTCTTGCTGTTTGAGTTGGTCTGGGGAGTCATGAGGTTTTCCTTGCCGACAGGGTTGGTCGGGGTGTGCGTAGTAACCTGCTTCAGCGGGCTTTGGGCTCGAGCGACTTCAGACGGTCCATGAGGGGTGGAGGGCGTATTTATGGCCTTTGGGGTGAGATCCCCAAGCACGCGTCGCGAGGGTGTCTTGGAGGGGGTATACTGAGTGGCCATGTTTGGCCGCTGCGGTGTTGTGGCGCTCATGTTGTCTTTGCGACTTGAGGGATATTGCGACGCGTTGAGACGGGACGAATGACGCGCGTGGATGCGCTCTTGTGGTGTGGGACGGAAGTGTAGCCACAAAATAGTAATGATTCTTTCTGTGTCGTGTTCAACGTTGGGAAAGACAAATCAAAACAGAATTGGAATGAGGGTGATGGTGTGGGAGCAGTCGCGTCGCGGTTGGGGAAGTCGCAGCAGAGGCGCTAGGCGACGCGATTGGGTGGCATGTCAGGGTCCAGCTTGGCGAGAAGGCGGGATGGCGCCTGAACTAGCACAGCACAAAGTTGGCATGACTGGGAGGTGTTCTAATTCTATTCCTCAATCCTCTATCTACTATCGTTACACATTTGCATTGAATTACGCGTCGAACGACACCTGTTGGGGCCCTCGAAGAACGCGTGGCGCGGAGAACATTCTCTCTGCACTTTCCCCGTTGCTGTTGCTGCAGGCAGAGTCACCTTCACGAGTAAGCTACGACTAGGACACGTGGATGATGATTGATCCACATCTTCCTAGCAATGGTCCCGTCGCTTTGCAGTGAGTAGACCATCACGACTCTAGTATGGCGCGTCTCAAGCTAGAGAACCCACGCGTTCGTCAAAGTTCCGAGGCACTTGCACAGATAAGATAGCACGATAAGATGCAGCCACAGTTTCTGTGCACGAACCTACGTGCATGCCGGCCGCACTTGCCTACGGGTCTCCATTCCTTGTCTTACGTCATCAAAATAGAAGCAAATGCACGGCTACGCGGCTCCATTGCTCCACCATGATGGCTCAGCCACACCTACTCACCAGCACAGCCAACCCTTTATACACTCGACTTTCAAACCTCAAAACCCCTACAACAGAACTTATTGAAGTCCAGAGACTCACCTGCACCTTGAAACTCGATCTGAGCATCTATCAACAATCTGTTCGTTACCCAACTGAGGCATCCGCTCACTAGTGTACTAACCCGATCAGCATATCCACGATGAAGGGCTTCCTTCAAAAAGCCAAAGCCGAACTCAAAGGCTTCACTCAACGCGACGAGCCTTGCAACTCAAAATTTGACGGAGCCGCTGAGGCACAACATCAACACCACTTTCCTCCAGCCCATCAGCAAGGGCAGCAACATGGAATCAGCGATCCGACAACCCTAGATATACTTCGCTACCGCTATCATCACGGCACTAACCTCGGCTCTGTTTACGTCATTGAACGATGGCTTCAAGGTTCTCGATTTCCTGACGGTTCTGAGGGATCAAGCGAGCTTGCAGCAGTCCAGGCCTGGGTCGACAAGATTGGCATGGCTGAAACGAAACAAAAGTTCGAAGAGCATTGGGCCAACATCGTAACCGATAACGCCATCGGATGGCTTGCTAATGTAGCCAAATGCACTACCGTCCGCCTGCCCATCGGCTACTACGACCTCCCCGGAGCTGTTTTCACCCAGGGCACACCTTTCGAGCCGTACGCAGAAATATACACTGGAGCATGGAACAGTATCCGCACCCTGATCCAACGCCTGCGTGCACGCTCCATCGGTGTTCTCATCGATCTACATGCATTGCCAGGAGGTGGAAACGCGCAGGAGCACTCCGGTACCAACAGTGGGCGTGCTGAACTCTGGACCAGCCATACCAACCGCACGCTGGGCGTTCACTGCTGCCAGTTCATTGCTGAGGACACAAAGGCTGGAGCTGAGATTGCGGGTCTCCAGCTCGTCAACGAGGCTGAGTGGGAATCAGAACGCATGTATGAGTGGTACGATGAATGCATAGCTGCTGTCTCTGCCATCGATCCCGGCATTCCAATCATCATCTCCGACGGTTGGCACCTAGAGAAAGCAGTCGACTGGACTTTGCAGAAGAACTCCATCTACTCGCATCCGCAGTGCCCAGTAGTGATCGATACGCACTATTACTGGGCTTTCACAGACGAAGATAAAGCAAAGACACCACAACAAATCACCGAGGAGGCCGGCACCAAGCTTGGGCAGCTTGACGGTAAAGAAGGTTCTGTCCATGACCGTGGTGCAGTACAAGTCATCGTTGGAGAGTACTCCTGCGTTATGACCGAGGACTCTTGGGCCAAGGGCGGCGGGGTCCCCAAGGAAGAGCTCGTGCAGCAGTTTGGTCAGGCGCAGAGTAGGCGGTACCAGCAGCGAGCTGGGGGCAGTTTCTTCTGGACCTGGAAAATGGATTGGATGCCTGGCGGTGAGTGGGGCTTCAAAGCTAAAACGGAAGACGGGAGCATTGCGCCACCTCAGTATACAACAATGTCCGCTGATGATAGGCGAGGGGTTGTCGAGAAAGCCAGACACGAAAAAGACGGGCGGATGCATGAGGCTGTCCAACAGCACGTGTCTTACTGGAGTGGAGTGGACCCCAACGGTCACTATGAGCACGAAAAGTACGAACATGGTTGGCAAGTCGGATACCAAGACGCCTGCGCCTTCTTTGGGTGCGGAGAAACAAAAGGCGACAAGATTGGCATGTTTGAGTTATGGGTCCTCAAGCGAATTAGAGAGAGTGGATACAGAGGTGGCTTCACTTGGCTGTTCGAGCAAGGCCTGAGGAAAGGTGCGCACGATTGTTTCTCTGCGCTTGGTATCTAAGGGTTTGTGCACGGACGATATGGCTCTCGGTCAAAACCGTTTGCTGTTGCTGCCTCAGTCACGAGGTACGTGCTCGGTGTGATGACGTTACGGTCAACAGTCGGATTCGCGACCTTCGTCGGTGGAACGTCTAGAAAAATGACAGAGACAAACATTCAAGCAATGTATGTTGGGCGTACAGTATCACTTTCTCAATGAATTTACCACCTCCCCTCTTCCACCCCCCTAACTTGATCTCGCGCAATCCCTCAACTTCTAGAAATCGCCAACCCCATGGATCACACCCATTTTACACCCCTTGGAACACCTGAAGAAGGGCCTGGCGAGGCGCTGCTTTTACTACATGACACACTCCCCAGGCGACCTTATCAAGCTTATTGCGTTACCGAAGCCTCTTCACGACCGTCGAGCCCGGACAATCTTGTTCCAAAACCTCTCCGAACATCAACGACACCTGTATTGCGGGTTTTCATCGACACAGAGTCTGTTGAGACCGAAGACTGCGACCACAACAAGAATCTCACCCAGACTGCGGCAGACATTTTTGCGCAGTATGTCGAATCAGCAACATTACGCAGAACGGGACAGTATAGCAAAAGACAAACATTACTTCCCAATCGAAAGCCGTTGCCAGAGCGTACAAGATCGGGAAATACACCAAATCACATTACACGGGCTGTCACTCCACGCGGAAGCCACTCGTTAGCTCCATCTGAGGTGACGGTGTGCGACCTGCCATCATCACATCCACGGATGCAACAATCGACTCCTTCTAACAACAAATCTGATCGGATCGGCTCGCACAAGCCAATTGAGCAATGCGATGATCTTTTGGGTACGTATCAGCGTCCGCTACCACCACTACCGCTCGGGGCGGCTTCAGTGATAGACGAAGAACAAGAAATCGGCGCGCGGAGCGCAGACATTTATCGAATTTCGGACGAGCCGGCTCGTTCAGAATACATTCAAGGAGCAAACGAGCTCAACACCCCCAATACTCAGGCGGAACCGCTGTCCCAGAGCAATCGCTACCTCATTCCACGTCGGCCGTTGCCAGATTTACCGATAGACATCAGCCCAGATCATTCGAGTCAAAGAACTGCAGCGCAGAGCACGTCTTCATCACACGTGATAGACGGGCCCTCATATGACGCTGTCTTTGGTGAGTCGAGCATTAGTGCGCGAGAGCATCGTGTCTCGGGCAGCAATGCACAAGAGCCCACGGCTACTGATTCATACGAACCTCGCGGCCATTGGAATGACATTGATGATGACGTGCGAGCACTGCGGCGAACTCAACCCAAAGATGCAAATCTAAAATACCAGTTTGGACAGCTACCGTCTTTCAGTTCAGCTTCACCGCCATTGATTTCGCCGTTTCGCGGGACTTTCCCTCCTCTAGTCGGCAACCCCACAAACGCCGCGCCTTCCTTCCATTCGTCGACCGACATCCAAAACGGTCCGAGACCGCCTCCTTGGGGCTCATACGAAGATCTTGAGATACAACGTCGACAGCGCGGTGACGCTAGAGAGCGCGCAAAAGTTAGAGGCAGCCGCTTGACGGCAGACAGCTCTTCAATGTACCAGAAGTCAATGTCAACGGACAGCCTCGGTAAAGATCCTTCAAGGGAGGTAGAAGAGTACAGGGAACAGATACTCGGTGTGTACCCCGACATGGAGTTCAATGGGGAAGCTGGGAGGGGCGATCGGGCATGGTGTTGCTGCGTGATGATGTGACCGGCTTCCCATTGACGGTCAATCAAATCACTATAGACATATTGGGCGGATATTCGCGAAGCCTCTCACTTCCCGCTCCAACACCGCACTTATCTTCCGATCTATAAACACGACGCACCAGGCCACTTTGAGCTTTACAACAACAAAGCTCTACTTCCGAACCTATCCCTCCGCAAATATCCACCGCCAACTGAGTACACCACATCTTACATCCAGAGTTTCCAAGTTATTGACAGCCTCCACCATGTCCAACATAAAGTTCGACGAGAAAGCAAAGTCACAACGCTCGAACACTGGCAGCAAAGCGCAACAGTCTGCATCTGGGTCGGCCGCTAAACCAGCGCCCAGTAGAAACAACAGGTCACAAGTCATTGTTACAGTCAGAGAGCTATCGAATACCATCAGAGAGACTTCAACAAAGCCATATAACGGATCTACCAGCGTAGCTTATGAATTCAAGAAGACCCCGGTAAAACCTCACGTTGTTCAAGCTTTAGCAGAAGCAGAGGAGAAAAGACGACGGGAAAAGGGATTCTAAGAGAACGACCGTAGGAAGAGGTTGGGGCTCGCGCCATGGCAGAGATAGAGGGTAGTCTGGTACTCTCCAGAGTTTTGGGGGTTGACATGTGGCTTCAGCAGCTCAGTGGGTTATTGCCATTTTCTTTTATCGGACAGCGAATGTGTGATTTCTTTCTTTCCTTTCTTGAGGGACAGTACATTATACTTTGGTTATTCTTGCGCAGGCTTGCGTAGGATCAGCTTTATATGTCATTTTATTCGAAACAATGACACTTCTGCTCATTGTTATTGAATGTGTCACGCGAGCCTACCAGTAGACGTTATATTGGCTACAGATACTGCTTACTGCCCTTGAGTGAGTTGAGAACAGGTATGTGATGTTTGAAGTTCGATGAGACGGTAATGTAAACTTAAGGCCCTTGCTCTAGCCGGCTAGGTGATCACTTTCATGTGCTTCTCGCGCGTGTGATTCACCACGACTGACCAAATCGCAGTTTTTGTTGACGCCTTTTGCTATATCTGTAGGAAGATCACACATTAACAGCCCATGAGTCCTAATGAGTCAACGCCTTCGTAGTCACAAGCTTGGAGTCACCTAGGTCAATGTACCCACGGTAGCTTTTGAACTGTGACTGATGCTCGCACTCTGCAGCATCAATGACAGGAATCGTGAATAATACAATCATCGAAGATGTGACTCTTCGCAGATATAAAAACCCCCCAGTGCCTACCTGACTTTCCTTCACATACACATACTCATACACCTTCGTATACGCGCCTATCTTAACAAGATCTTCATAACATACCTCGTTACTTCCTTGATCGATCGGACGAGCTGTGTCAAACAGCCGCAATCAGTCGAACTTAGCCCACGTTTTCTCCATTCGTCTTCCGCGGTCTACAATGACGGATCCCACGATACAAGTCAACGGGCACCCGACTGAGCAAGCAGAGCCTCCGAAACAGCCAGAGCAAGGTGGATATGATAAACAGAAAACCGCAAAAGCTCCAGAGACGCAGAAGGTGAGAGATCGCGGCTGCAGACGCGGAACAAAGCACGACTAATTGCTGAGATAGGAGCCGGAAATGTTCAGTAAAAAAGACAGAGCACAGACTTATGCCTATGGTGACTCTCTTGATGTCTCTAAAACAAAGTGGAAGGGCTCTGGTTCAGATAAGGCAAGCAGATAGGACAAGGCTGTAGGAACTCGATGGAGGTCTGCTTACCCGGCAAACTTATGAGCGGTTGTCATTCATTGAATCAATTATATCAGAGACAGTCAGCTTATCGGAAGCTATTTTGCACAGACTGTGGTGTCATGTGGTCAATGTGAGCATGTCTTTTGCATCAATGAACATGAATTACAATCAGGTACATTGAAATAAGGTCGAGTATATCACAGCATCACAGTCTGCTGACTTCAACCCCAATGCCGCCGACTGAAACAAAAACAGGACACATGAATCACACATAGCACCATATAAAGCTAGCTACACCCCTAGTTCCTCTATATAACTCGGCACTCAAGCACTGCATCACTGAACATCACTATCAGGACTCTTTGACACCCAGGCCAGGAGCTTGTAGTCCAGAATTAGCTCAATCTATTCATAGTACCGGTATTTGACCTCTATCAAGATGCATCTCCCAACAAACAAACTCCAGCTCCGCCCTAAACTTACCAACGTTCTACAACACTCAAGCAAGACTTCCACTTCCACTGCCTCCGATGCCCAAACTCCAACCAAGACGAAGAGCATCAACACCAAAGACAAGCGCAACATCAAGATTGGCATTGCTGCGCTCCGTACCGTCAGCAAATGGACCGAAAAAGCTGCACTGACGCTAGAGAAGCTCGAGGGCCAAGAGGCGTCGAAGCACTGCCAAGATCGCCAGGCGCGCTTGCTCGCAGAAGATGGTAGCAAAGGGTACGGAAAGCAAGTCCAAGATACTGGGGTATGGAGAGATACCGTAGTATACCCGGTACCTGCCCAGGTTGATAGTGCTAGGGGGATCGAGGCACACGAACAGCCAAGAGTGTACAGAGCACCAGCACCTGCCAGCCAAGGAGAAAGTCACATTGCGGCCAGCGCTGTCGAGGTACCTATCGTTCAGACTCATCATGCACATGTCTTGGCTTCCGTTGAGGAGTACTATGACGAAAGCAGTGATGACGACAAGCATGGCAGTACCTCTAGGCAGATCGGTCTCAACAGCTCCACAGACGTTGACGCAGATGAAGATACCGATGAGGAAGATACTTCTGATGACTCTAGCGACGATGAGAAGGAGGATGGCAGCGATGACGACTCGGATAGCTCGGCGCATGATAGCTCTGATGATGCTGATGATTCGGACGAGGAGGAGTTAGAGGCCGAACATCTCACGACCGTGAATGCCAAGAAGTGAGGAGACGGAGTACATTGGGTAGAGGCGGTTGGGGTGTTTTGGTTGTGAAGAGGACAGTTATTAGATGATGCAGCCTTGAGGGCCATAAGGGAATGGTTTTGACGTAGACTGGAGAATCGAGCGGGCAACGGTAGTAGTAGCTTAGATGTACCTATAAATAAGGTGTTAACGTATAGCCGTACTAATTCTGCATATATTGCGACTCTCTAGCACTCCAGGGCTCCGCTAACCTCCAGCACTAAAGTAGGAGAAGCCGAACGGAGGGATATATACCAGCTCAGATGCTTGAAATAGAGCCAAATAACCATGTTTGGCCATGCGGTGGAAATCTTCCGAAGGGCCGAAGTGAACTGCGCGTCAGGCAGCATCGGTTCGGCACATATGCCGTAAGGTTTACACAATGACGTACCTGTGTAACGGCAACAAAAAGCCATCGCGAAAACCTCCAAGCAGTCTCGGTTTGTGGAAACTGTGCTCATCTCGTAGTGGACCGACCAATAAGTATCAGCAAAGTGGCAGTAAAGGCGACCAGTACAGTAGCCCGACGACAGGAAGTGAGGGCAGGGCACCTGTAGGCTACCAACGGCACTTCGCAAACACTCCACAGCGCGTCACGCATCCCCTCTCACTTCACTCGCACGCCTTGAACGAGTTTTACGTTTGTGTCTTCATCCCACGTGCGCTCTAGCCCGAAAGTCGTTGATCGGCTTTGCCCTGCATTGTTCGTTCAGTTCGGTCCCACCCACATCCTCCTAGCAACGCCCGCATCCTCGCAGTCAACATCACGACTGTCAATTGCGAAAATGTCAACACACTTTCGCCCGCGCGCGACTACGCCTGGCCCGCCGAGCCCTACACGTCCATCAACGGCGCGCTCCACGATTCGCGCTATCTCGCCGTCGCCGCCACCGAGTTTGGATGAGGCTTCGCGACAAGATTCTGCGACTACTGGATCACCGAATGTTGATACCCAAGACACATCAGTGAGCGCAAAGGTGCGACCAAAGAGCGATGGCTTTCCGCGAGCATACGTGCATGGTTCTGGTCATGAAGAGACGGACTTCGCCGACTACACCACAACAACAGGGAACGGTAACTTCGGAAGCTCTCCCGCAAACATCACTGCCAATGTCACCATCAAGAGAGGCGGCGGGATGATGACAAGGCGGTCGCCGGTAAAGCGCGGTTCCAGATCAACAAGTCCGAAGAAACGTCCGTACAGCACACCGACGGAGCTGTCTTCGCATCGCGAGTCGACATCGCGTGACCAAGACGACATGACAGCAACCAACCCGCGAGACGCAGAGATCCAAGCTGGTGACTACGTCGACAGCGACGCATACACCGACTGTCCAGACACACCCACCCCGATGACAAACTCCCAGAAACGCTCCGCCTATCTCCCGCTCGGAACTCCGACGCCCTTCCCAAAGTCCACGCGTTTTTCCAGGCCCAAATCCAGATCAAGCCTTCCTCGTGCCACCCCTACTACTACGCCCACAGCACCGACACCAAAGCTCGAATTCTTTGAGTCCTTCGACGAGCAACCATCCTGTGGCTCTGGGCTTTTCACCACGGACCATCCCCAGATGTATGTTGGGCCAGGAGACAAGCTCATGGCGTTCTACACCCAGACTGAGCGTCGGAAGATGCGCGAACGGGCACTCGCAAGGGCTGCGCAACCGGAGAGGGCGGTGCCTGGTTCTCAGACAGGCTACGCGACAACGTCAGATTACCCAGGAAACGACGCCTTGATTATGCAACAGCCCCTGCGAGAGGAAGATATTCGTGCGCGCATGCATCTCGCCCCTCCACAGCAGCCCATGGAATCACCGCCTCGGAAGCCTATGTTAGATGCGGCTGGCAACGTAGCGCGACACGTCTCGCCATCTGAGGGATCATGTGTCTCCGGCGGAACGGTCACTAGCAAACGCTCTGTCTTTAGCACGCCGGGCAGAGACGAGCTTGAAAGGAAGAAGGCGATTGTGGAGACGGATGATGGACCGTTTGCTAAAGCAGTGAGCATGGCAGATCTGAGTGAAAGACGCAGGGTGGTCAGTGAGGAGGGAGCACAAGGTGTTCGAAGGAGCGAGGATTTGGAAGCAGAGGGTATGCAGAAGAAAAAGAAGGAGGGCAGGACTTGTGGAATGGGGATTGGATGCAATGTGATGTAGAGATTGTCAAAAAGCTCGGAGATGTTTGTTTAGACTTTGCATCGATGCGATGGAGTATGGTTCTGACCGTAATATGAACGACAGCAATGAGTAACGATGAGGCTACTAGTTTGATGCTTAGCATAATATTGTAAAGTAACAATGAAACTGAAACTTCTCTGAAGCGCGTGACAGAAGTATATCGCGAACAGACAGTGAATGTGACCACTAGCGAGCGCAACCGCAATACACTTTCGTTTGCCTCTTGGACGTCCAACTCTTCACTCGTACAACCCACTTTAAAGATCGCGACACATTAGCAGCAAGACATCACGCAATGGATGTCGCGCTCGATCGAGTACAAGCGCCGTACATGCTCGACAGCCTGACCGCCGACGCGCAGCGAATATCAGCGAGCCTGCCACCGGACGGTTGGGATTCAAGCTCCTCCCTCGTTGGCTTAAGGCGTGACGTCAGTGGGGTATCGGTCGTGGTGAGTAGCACCAGCCCTAGACGGGTAACTTTGTCTGTATCAGCCGCTAACCAAAGGCTCCGTGAAGCCGTCAATAGCTGCGCCGGGCGATGTCAACGATGCTGGACATGCGCGCGGTGGGCTTTTTGCATGGCTCCGGCGATTAATCCGCACCGCTTGTCGTCGCTTCCGTAAACGCCACAAGAATGCGAAAGGCTCCTAACGAAAGGGCCGGTGGATGCTGAACACTCCTAGTGATCAAAGTATAAGACATTGGTATGTGTAGAATGCGTTTTCGAAACTCGAGCTAATAGCGCTTCTTAGATGAAGAATCGGCTGCGATGTCGAGTGCCTGTAGGATATCGGTACCGAAGACGACAGTCATGTATGCGGGGAAGATGACCCAGAGACCACTGCGGGAAAGTTAGCTTTTCTGTCCCTTGTAGTACGAGGTGCAAACAGATGCAGGATATCAGCTTACTTCATGACAAGGTAGAAGACCAAAAGCGTTGCCCAGTCGTTATGGCGAACGTTTGCGAAACCAGAGAAATACTCATTGAAGTCTACCCTCGTTAGCCTGTGTATTGCCCGTGTGTCGTATGTGAACGTACAGTAGAGCACTGTCTTGCTGACTGTCATGACTGCTGCAGCGAAGCCGATAATGAGCGCGCGGTTACCAGTCTTGCCGCGCACCTTCCTACCGCCAGAGAGGAATTTGCCCACGCCCTCGCTGAGCTGCAGGCCAGTACCTCCAGATGTAGGGACACTGTGATTGTATATGATCATAGAGTAGAGGCCGTATAGCACAAGCTCCACAGCGTTCAGCATGGCTTGCGCGCCGCCAAAACCATCATGGTTTTCCCATCCGGGCCATCCGTATACGTGATCGATCGAAGCGTAAATCTCGTATGGCTTCCAGATGGGCCATTGAAGCGCGCCACCGGCCATGGTATGTGGGCGCAGAAGAACATATAGCGTGTCCCATAGCACAAGAGGAATCGAGATGGCAAGCCAGACTATCGTAAGATTGGATGCCGTGTGGCACCACGTCGGCTCGTCGATTTCGGATGGAGAGGGAGGGCTAATTTCGGCTTTGGCATTGGAGATTGCTCGCCTCGCAAGCGATTTCGGTGGCGGTGAGGTATTGAGGTCTGGGGAGGTGGGCGCCGGGGACGCGGTCGAAGTTCGTGATCTTGGCGTCTTCTTGACGGGTGATGGCTCCGTGGCAGGGAAGTCGCCTTGCGGATGCGAGCGCGTGGACACCATGACGATGAGAAGAGATCAAGACGGCGTGAGGAATCTGGGGTTCAGCAGCAACTGCGAGGAGCGCAACGGAAGGGAGAATGTAACGTGTCGCAATGGTGCAAAGGATGCTAGGGAACTAGTGGAGAACGGCTTCTGCTTTAGCCGGGCGGGGCTGTACCTGAGACGGGAAGGCTCGACAAACAGAGTATAGTGCATCTCGCCCTGGCATGCACAGGCTGTAGCACGATGACAACACACTCATAGACAAACTAGAAAATTCCATAGCTCTCTGCTTTAATAGGTAGGGACCGACTACATACTCCAAGCTAAAACAACACATCCTCTAATCACTGTTTACCCAGGCATTCCCCTTCGACGAAGCTAGGCTTATGGAATCACCCCAATCAGCCAGAAAGCAACGCTTCATCCTTCACTACCTAGGTAGAGACTGCTCAAGAATGCTTGATAGTCCACCTAACAGTCGACTTCCCGATGCCAGAGTTGTCGCACTCTGTCTGTCCCTGAGAGGCAACAACACCGCCAGACTTTGTTCATTAGCACAGAAACTTGGCACTTCCTCGGGAGAGCTGGAACGTACCTGCCACTTGTTGAGGGCAAGCTCAGTGATGTCCGCTATGTTCGAAGATCCAATCCAGGTTTCCTGGATGTTACGGGTGCCTGCTTCGAAGACACAGGTGCCATAGTACAAGACACCGTGTGTGTCGGGAGTGTTGTCCCAAACGCCATAGTAGGTGTTCAGGCCGCGGGTATCTGGTGAATGATCAGTCAGTCGCTCTTTTGGCCACAAATACTCTACAGAAGTGAATTCAGAGACTTGGAGGCTTACAGTCACGGATCACCGCACAGTCTGCCGTGTTGGCGAAAGGAGCAGGATGCGGGTCGAGAGTGGTGCCATCACAGGTGTCAGAGTCGGGGGAGCCAGTGAGCAGAGCTCGTGTCGCCACATCACCGGGGTTGGCAGACACGACTACTGCTGCGCTATTGAGGTAGAGAGTTTTGCCATTGAAGTCGATCGGAATTCATTGAATCGCAGCATTAGCGGCAGAGAGGGGTTCCGGAGCTGGAGCTGGAGCTGGAGCCGCAAAGGCCATAGGAAGTAGAGCCAAGGTAGAAAGACTGAGGAGTTTGGAGGAAAGCATGTTGAACAATGAGTATTGGTAATTGTCGAGTTTCGAGTGCTTGGTGATGCTGTTGATGCTGGTGCGAGATTTCTCTAGAGCTGGCAACGTCTTATATAGAACAACATGAGCAAGGGAATCTGTCTTTGGAGACGCAATACAGGCCTGGATCTTCGTTGCAGGTAGGCTTTCCGGTCTCACGCTGCACTCTGCCAATGGTCTAGATGCTAGACAGTTGGTGGTCGACCTCCAGGAGTGCCTCGTGTCTGCGCGGAAGTTGAAGTAAGCTTCATATCTGTGCAGGAATTTATCGTTTCTACGCAGGTCAGCACATCAGTGCTTACAAGGTCGTCTTATTCCAGGCGGTAGGGTGGCTTTTAGGCAGTGATTCTGACTGAACTACGTTTGAGGGTATTCGGGATCGGTGTTGCAATATCAATGACATGGTTTCGGAGCCTATCATGATGTCTGCTTTCATAGCTTCGTGTTACACTGTTCTCATCGTGATAAGTCTAATCGGTGACGGAACCATTTCAGGGGGCGTGAAACGGTGAATGGTGACGGACTTCAAATTCGAATTTAACCTCAGAAGAAGGCAGCGATGACAGCGCCCCTACCCTCGTATCTAGCATGCGTGTAATACTGGCGCAGAGGGGGGATCATATACTTACTTTGGGCATGTCGCGCATGCCGCGGTCCGGCGTGAAGGGGAAGTGGGCGACCCGGAGCACATCCGAGTTGTACCAGAACAGGGGAGCTTCCCGAGGCCATCCTCCCCTCTCGCCTCTCGTTCTTTGTTAGACGCTTCGGATCTCGAGATTTCTCTCTATATAGTCTTGTGATAGCCAGGTATTGAGAGATGTGATGTGTCGAGTATCTGAAATCATGTTTGAAGTCTGACATCATGCCCGACCCTGTTACGACTTCAGCTCTGACATGCTGCTGCAACTTTCAGCTATCCCAAAGCATGCCTTGACCACTAACTTTAGGCGATGCAAAGAGTTCACAATGACGGGGAGCCTATGGGGCGCGGTACGGGACCACCCTTAGTCCAGCTTGCCATTCGAACAGCCATGTGTTCATGCACTCAGATCCACACACCATCATTACTCGTTGAGAAAATGAAATATCTGTCGTGCTTCCAGGTACATAGGATGGAATCTGACTCACATGCATATTCTCGGGCCAGGACTGTATATCGGCTTGGCACAGACGGGCCTAGGCTCCGGCATGTCCAAAAAGCCTCGCCGCTAACCGTTTGAGCCAGGCCTTCGGTATACGAGAGTGTGAGTCTGTGAGAACAGTTGCGCGCGTAGCGCGGTCGACGCAAGTCCATAATTCCTGGTAATCATGGTGCTGGTGTAGGAGCTCTCAAGGCTTTACGCCGACACGCCGACCAACCTCAGGAGGCCTTACCTACCTGGGCAGGTAGCGCCTTGGCGAGGCTGCGCCGCATTCAAGTGCTCCAGGGCTTTCTCGCATTCATGCACGCTGCCTCGACTGGCGTTTTCACTCATGCTCATTGCGTCAAGTCATTGTGTACAATTTATAAAGCCTTCTGGTGCGTCGTTGCAGCTAGACAGCGCGACGACGGAACCACAGCTTTGATGTCGTTTCTTCTCCGCGCGGGCGAGGTTCTCAAGGGCCGCACAGGCAGCTACACGATCACCAAGCAAGTCTCACCGACACTTTGGTTTGCGAAGTGAGGCCAGGATATCGCTTTCTATGCCTTGGCCACTGACAGCTATGCAAGGGACCAAGGTCAAAGAAAAGTGGTGATCAAAGGCGGACCTCCAACGGTGCGAGTAGAACGTGATGCGCTCAAAATGTTCCAGCATTGCCCCCATATCAGACCAATGGTCGACGAGATGGATGGGCCAGCTGCCATGCCTCCGCTTATTGCCTTGCGGTATCTCGACAGTGATGTCCTAACTGCGTCAATTGAAAGGAAGTTGAGCCGAGAGGAGCTGAAATATGTTACTCGGAGGCTGCTGCTAGCTCTGAATACTCTGCACGAGAAAGGCTATGTGCACTCGGGTACGTATGCGCAATCCATTCGTTGAAGTAAGTGGACCGGCCTGACAGGACGACAAGACGTCAAAACCAACAACATCTTCTTTAATTCTCAGGAGGGACCCAATCGCTTCGCTGATGTTCAGTTCGGTGATCTGGGCGACTGTTGTACGGTAGACTCAGAGCGGGCTCGATCTGGAAAGCTTGTGGGTGCGCCTGTGTGGTCTAGTCCAGAGGTCATCTTAGAGATGCCTTGGAACACCGCAACAGATATATGGTCGTTTGGTACCGTGGTATGTGTTAAGATTTGGATGGAAGTTGTCATAAAGCATAAGCTGACTGTCCGCTCATCAGGTCATCAGTCTAATCTACGGTGGAGATAGGAATTTGTTCCAGCCGCAAGATGTAAATCGCGGTGAACAAGGGTACCTGTTAGGTGTCCTCGAGCGACAGTTCCGCTATTTTGGACCCTTTCTTCCACCGTTTATAGAAATGGGCGACGGAGGGATCGCCCAAGTCATACAGTATTTGATGGAAACGATCCCGTATGACGAACTAACACCGTTCGCGTCTGTCACGGAAGGACAAGTGGCGAAGAAGGACAGGGATTTCATCTCGAAGATCATGCAGCTTGATTGGAGAGATCGACCTACGGCCAAAGAACTTTTGGAGGATGAGTGGTGGCAAGACGACTGAGATAGCTTTGTTTTGTAAGGCGTACTGGCATCACCACCTGTACGATGTGGATTATGTGTTGTACTATACACTGTACAGATGGTAGAACTACTGGATATTTCCGCTCAGCGCTTACGACCCCACTCAGGTTTCACCCTCAAGGCCCCGATTTCGTGAAAGAGGGCTACAGAAAAGCACCACCTCGCTTGCTAGCGCTCTGTTTAGCTCCATTGATACATCAAGACCATTGCATTGGTACAGCCAAAGTTGGCGTTCCATTCACGTCTCTACCTATCGCCATCAACCATGGACATCACTGGGCTCGATCGCGCTACCGGCAGACTGGTCATCCAGATCAGACTAGATGAGATTGCAGAAGCGCTCGAAGGCGTCCAACTGGACGACAACGGTACTGCGAGCTATCGCGCTATTCGTCACACGCTTCAAGATCAACTATCGATCATTTATGGCCAGATATGCTATTCTTCGACAACTGACCGGATACTCCGTGAACCTGCGATAATCCCACTACGTTGCATGTATTAAGACACTGACATATCAGCAGGATACTGATGACGAAAGCGACAACGGCGACGAAGCAAGACGTACGCCATCGAGATCAAGCAGCGACACCTCCGCGAACAACTCCGATGATGAAGGCGTCGTAGCGGAGGAAGCAAGTCCCACACCAGAACTCATTGAAGCGCCGGAGTCAGAACCGGAGTCAGAGTCAGAACCCGAGCTGGTACCAGAGGCTACTGCCGATTGCGGTGCTTGTGGTGATACAAAGCCCGAGAAGGACACCATCAAGCTTGAATGCTCCCATGTTTACTGTAAGGACTGCATCGTAGATCTATTCCGCTTCGCTGTCCACAA